TGTACATTCATATTGCCAAAACTCCTGAATATGAAAAGAGCAACTCTCGGAAATGCACCAGAGAACCTGATAAGTGGCAACGTGAAATTACAAAAAGAAGGCGGCAGCATGGACAATGTTATCAAAATGAGAAAGGGGTTACAGTTCCGATGAAGGCATCAAAGGCAATCAGTTGTAAATGCAAATACAGATGCACAAGTAAAATAAAAAAAGACAGAAGAGAGGAAATATTCAACCATTACTGGGAACTTGTCATATGAGACTCAACGAAACTTTATATCACATCATATAAAAGTTATAAGTTAAAACGGCGAACAACAACTAATGATGAAATCTAGAAGGAAATTAACTTATGAATATTTTTTCTTCCGCTCAATGATGATAGTGATGATTTGATTCAAATTTGTAAAAGTAGCTTCATGAATATTTTAGATGTTGGACCAAAGGTGATCGAGTACACGATGAATAGAGACAAGATATATGACACTACAGATAGAAGGGGTCGGCATAAAAAGATTGAAGTTTCCAAAGCAGCCAGAGATGGAATACGGAAACACATAGACAAATTTCAGAGAGTAGATTCACATAACTGCCGAAGGGATACCGAGAGGCAATATCTTGAAAGGGGCTTTGTCAGTAAATAAAATGTATAGAATGTATGTGGAAGAGTGTGAGAAAAGCAACACAATTCCTGAGAAGCTCTGGCTGTATAACTCTATATTCAATAAGGAATTCAATCTTGGTTTTCATCACCCCAAAAAAGACTTATGCACCTTTTGTGAAGTGTATAAAAGTCTTGATGATGCCAAAAAGAAAGAAAAAGAGAGTGAATACCTTGAACATCAACAAAGAAAAGAGCAAATTCGACAACAGAAACAGAATGACAAAGAAAAGGCCTTGGAAGATACAAATACACGTGTAATAAATTTTGATCTTCAAAAAGTTTTGATTTCACCCAAAACAAAAATAGGTGAAGTTTACTACAGCCGGAAGTTAGCTACATATAATTTTACTGTATTTGACATAGTCTCAAAGCATGCATCATGTTACATGTGGTATGAATCAGTTGCTAAGCGAGGAAGCAATGATATCTCTTCATGTATATACAAATTCAATGAAAGTCTTTGGAGCTGTTGATCATTTGATATACTACTCCGACAGCTGTTCTGGACAGAACAGAAATCTTCCTTTCTCCAGTATGTGTTTATATTGTGTACAGAATATGCATATTAACACAATCACTCACAATTTTTTTTGAACGTGGACATTCGCAAATGGAGGGTGACTCTGTACATGCCACTATCGAAAAAGCTACGAAAAAAGCATGATATGTTTGGTCCTACGGATTGGATGTCAGCTGTGTCGAATAGCAAAGCCAGTGAGCCAAGATATAAAGTAATTGAAGTGGCTACATCTGATATAAAAGATTTTAAGGATTTAGCAGATCATACTGTGGCTAATAGAAGCAAGGCAGCAGATGGTTCAACACTTCAGTGGACAAAGGTACATGTATTTGAATACCGTAAATCTGAGCCAAACAGAATTTACTACAAGTATGAAGTTAATACTGAATTCAAATTCATCGAAATTGCACGGCCTTATTTGAGAAGAAAAATGAGAACAATTGAGGGCTTTGCATTAAAGAATGCATATGATAGTCAGATATGTATATCGAAAAAAAAATATGACGATTTGTTGAGTTTGTGCCAAAGGCAAATAATACCGCCAAGATACCATTCATTTTATGGTAGTCTACCCCACAGAGAAGACCATGAATCAGATGAATGTTGAACTATAACTCAGTATAAAAATTTTATTTTATTTTCAAAATGATTTAATTGTAAGGAAACGGTCCATTGGCATTGTAATAATGAACACATCATGAACTACGAAATCATGCAAACATAATGAAATACTTTCATTTATCAGCATAAACACTTATATAAATACACTTCTAAGTTTTTTTTAATACATCATGAATAACATTATTATGAATATGAACTATAACATGAATTGTGTTTCAAACTTGAGATTGTGGACAATTAATTGATTACAATTTGTTATCCTGTTTCTTTTTAGTTGTTCTTGTTCACGAAGGTAATAAATTACTTGTTTTAATGTTAATACATGATGCTAATATAAGCACATGTCACAAATTTATGTTAAAGGTTTTGAAATGAAATAAATTTAATTTTAAAACTTGGTGTCATTGTGCATTATTTTTCCTTCAGCTATGCCAAAATAGGATATAAAAAATACCTTTGAACTAGTTTGTTATCATTTTGGACTCAATCACTTTTTCAATAATTTTTAAGTCGAGAAGTTGAAAGTTGCATGTCGGCATATACATGTATGTTAGAAAACAACCGAAATATTGTTAAACACTGAGACTTATAAAATTCTTTGATCATTTGATTTCAAAAGTAATAGAAAGTCAGGTGGTAAAGTGGCAGTTGTCACTGTATGTTGACTTATGATATGGTTACATTGTTTATTCTAAAAGGAGTGAAGTGGCAGATAACGCCTTTTACCGAAATGCAACTTGTCATTTCAGCAAATGTTATAAGGTGTTAAGTAATTATTAAATGATTTTTGAACTAACAAACGACCACACAATAGGTAAAAATGATTATAATGCTTCTAACATTACTCGTTTACAAGCTTGCAAAGTCATTTTTAAAAATGATAACAAATAAAAGCAGCAGACAGTTTTTCTTGATTATCTCAAAACTGTCATTTTTCACTTATCCCCTTATAGCACTATGCCATCGATATGCATTATAAAGTAACGTGCACTCAAGGCGTTTTACAATGACCGTGTGTGTGCGTCTTTAAACATCTATATGCGAGTCCCCAAAGAAGATTTAAAGTTCGTTCATTATAGAGTCATAGTTACCCTGAGTGGAAAGCTTGAAATATAACTGTCACGATTTTCTTGCATTCCAGAACGCATGTATAACAAAATATATAGGCCCGTAATATAAAATTTATAGAACATAAATAAATTTGCACTTTATCACAAAAATCTAACTTTCTATTACTGGACCAAATTTTATGTAAAATATGCCAAAATGCTTGAAATGGTATCAAGAAATTGAAGCAATCAATAAAAGTACTGAAATAAGTAATTTCACTCAATAACTCTGAATTTTACAAAAAGATAATACAATAATTTACATTGGATTTAGTATAAAACTGAGGTTCGGCATGAAAATAGAATACTACAAGAACGTACTTCTGAGCATTTACGAAATGGTTTACTTTTTGACAATGACCGCTTTTTGAGACATTTGGGGCCCTGCAAGAATTTTATTTATTTAAAATATTTATCAGGTATGGTGAACCACTTTACATAACAAATACGTTCTCTTCAAGGTTTGTGAAATTGTCTGTAAAAATGATAATATTTCTATAGAAGCAAAGTTAATGTTAGTGTATATTAAAAATTAAAAGTCAAGTAAGCTATGCGCAACGGTTACAGGTCGCAGCTTAATATGCGTGTATGGTCTATTCGTAAAGTTACTGTCCTACAAAAATTGACATAACTGAAAAGGAAAGGCAAATGTAGATTAAAATTCAGCCTGACTCATCTCTCCCTAATGATTGATCATTTAGCCACGCACCCAAACAGCTTCCCATTTTTCCTTCTTACCAAGTTGGTGATAAAATTCTTTTGTCAGACATTCCAGTTGCTACTAGATACATACGTAATGTATAATCCAGTCAAACAACCTTCTATACATTAGCATAATAACAAGTTACAGTCAACTCAACGTGATCGTTGTCCTCCAATCTCTAATGTTGAGTTAAAGGCAGTGCAATGGGTCTGATTGAATACTCCTAAAGGCGGTGCTGGGGGAGATTGAATACTCTTAAAGGCGGTGCTAAGGTGGTGAGATTGAATACTCCTCCTAAAGCCGGTGCAAGAGAGGCATTTAATTCTTCTAAATCCAGTGGTAGGGGCAGTTTGAATACTCCTAAAGCCTGTGCTAGAGGGGCAGATTGTTCTAGGGGGTAGATTGGATACTCCTTAAGGCGGTGCTGGGAGAAGATTGAATTCTTCTCAAGGCGGTGCTGACGGGGCAGATTGAATACTCCTTGGCCGGTGCTAGGAGGCAGATTGAATATTCTAAAAGCCGGTGCTTGGAGGCAGATTGAATACTATTCAAGGTGGTGCTGTGGAAAGATTGGATACTCATCAAGGCGGTGCTGGGGGAAGATTGAATACTCCTTAAGTCGATGATGACGGAAGCAGATTAAATACTCCTCAAGGCGATGCTGGGGGAAGATTGAATACTCCATAGGGCGGAGATGGGGGAAGATTGAATACTCCTCAAGGCGGTGCTGGGGGGGACATTGAATACTCCGTAGGGCGGTGCTGGGGACAGATTGGATACTCCTTAGGGCGGTCCTAGGGAAGATTGAATACTCCTCAAGGCGAAGATAGGGGCGTATTGAATACTCCTCAAGGCGGTGATAGGGGCAGATTGAATACTCATAAAGCCGGTGCTGATGGAGGCAGATTTAATACTCCTCAAGGCGTTGCTTGGGGAATATTGGATACTCCTTAGGGCGGTGCTGGGGAAGTTTTAATACTCCTCGAGGCGGTGATAGGGACATATTGAATACTCATAAAGGCGGTGCTAGAGGTATATTGAATACTCCTAAAGCCGGTGCTGATGGAGGCAGATATAATACTCCTAAAACCAGTGCAGGGAGCAGATTGAATACTCCTTAAGCCTATGATGGGGGCTTTAGAGATTTTTCACGAACAGACTAAATAAAACCCAGTCTGCCGTTTTCAGTTTGGGTGGATATCATGGCTTTAAGGATCTCCCTTTTAATTTATAAATAACTATGATACTTTTTACTATTTGTGCAATACGCAGGGTTATATAGAATACAACTTTTAATTGAGCATAGTTACATTTTTGCTGCATAATTATCTGCATACAAAGTAAATATATACGCTTCTTGTGTACTATTTTGCACTTTTTCAGCATCTCTCCGACCTCGGATTGTTTATAAACCCACAGAATTTCCATATTCGAGATGCACTGAACACAGTACAAACGGAGTGACGTGTGAAAAACTAAATATCAGTAAAGGTTGGTAAAGATTTCTCTGAAATTATTCAATAATACTGAAGAATCTGGATTTTTCTTTTTGAAATATTCATTCATAGTACTATTACAAAAGTATTCGTGTATATTTGGTGGGTTTGAAATACACATAGTGTAATAGTATGCTTTTAGTTTCAGTTAATAATGAGGTAATCGGCATGCTATAATGCCTTTGGCCAATTGAAAATTTAACCAGTATCAATGCTGTAATGACTTCAGTCTGTAAAAAAAACCGCAAGACAATTTTCTTAACATTCTTTGTTGGAATGATATTACCTAATAGACCTTATTACGACGCAGTCCGTTGCCGGATGAAGTATTTTCTCGCGCATGCGCAATCTACGTTGGGCAAATTTCATCGCCCTACATAGAAATGCAGAAGAAGTTCGTTGACATATCTGAGTCAGTTGTCAAAAAATAAATAAATAGCTTTTAACAGAAAAGCAAAAGATGTCTATACAGCTTTGTGGCCGAGGTTGCTATAAAAGGATATGTAAAAGATGATTTTAACCCAGTCTTTTGCGACCATGTCGGACTTGAATCATTTAGGTAATTTTTGTATAAATGTAGAAATAGATTTTTTTTCAGGGCTGGGAATCAAAATGTAAACAAACGCGGCCATCTTGGAACGAAAAAAGTAAAATTTTGTTAAATACTTTTTTTTTTTGATGGAAATGGCTGAAAACCAGATATATCTATTAACACGCTCCACTATTTTCCGTCTCGTTCAGTACATGGTGCTTGCACTTGCACAACTATTTTGTCAAACAAAAGTTAAAGCAAACTTGCAACTCGAAGCTAGCCAGAATTTTTATGGGGTTTTGTGGATACGACGCAGTTCATATCATATTGCTTTATCTGTCGTTATTCATTCAAATCAATTGTATACTCGTTCAGGGTCTTTCAAATATAAAAACCCTGACTCGTTTCAGAATTAAACATAAACTTCAAAATATCGTTTTACAAAATTTGATAAAATTTTATGAAAAAGAGATGTTTATTTTGAAAGACAATAATGACTTGTAAGAAATATTACGACGCAGTTGAAAAGAAATTATGATACGACGCAGCTGTATTTTGGCAGTCTTTTCAACATGAATGATTTTGCCAAGTCTTTTTAACAGAATAAGCGCTTGCGCTTGATAAAAAACTGATCATACATGGTTTATAGCAATGTTCTGTTGCTTTAGAATATTAAGAATACGTTGTTTTATTTCCAATTTAGCATTTAATTTGAAATTTTACATTGCGGAAGCTACTTTTCAGATAAATATGAACATGTTAATTAATTTTTAATAATATTTGAAATTATTTCTATTTATATCTTCTTGTATGTTCAATGTTATCCCTATATTTTTTGGATTAATATAGAAGTCTATGAACTCAGTCACATAATTCATTTTGGTTAGCTAAGCTCTTAGTAAACTGTAGTTTTACATGTTCTAGGAAATAATATTTTTTGTGGTTTTATTTGAAACTTACATTCTACAATCTAGCTTTACTGGAGGCAAGGACCTCAGGCATGTCTTTGTACATTATTTCACAAAAAATGTTATGTTGTACCTGCAGAGGACCATCAACATTTTAAAGCTATCTCTTTAGGTTTTCCACAGTCCCAGATGGTTTTCGAATTCATAGCAGTTCAGGAAAAGTGATTTGAAGACAGCTCGGCCTCTGTTGGACACGCCTGTTTAAATTGTTTTTGTTTTTTTCAACTAAATTTGTTAAATATTGTCCTTAATGTCAGCTGCACAGATAAGCAGTTTTCTAGATAAATTTTCTGTATGAAGTTTTAAGATTACAAATATTTGAATTAATTATAAAGAGAATAATAGTTAAATTTGTTGTTGAAATGAAACATTCAAAGTCACGTTTCTTTGACTTTTATATTTACATCTTAAAATGGTATGTGTCAGTGGTCTGTAGCAGAGAAAAAATCAAAGTAAACAGTGGATAATCCTCTTTGAAGTCATTTTCAGAAAGTTTTTGTTTTAATGTTCTAGGCATGTTATTATAGAAAAATTACACTTTATTACCAATGCTCAAATTTAAGGCATGTAGATGCCATTTCTTAAGTCCATAGAAAACACAACACGATTTGCCGACCTACATTAAAAAAAATTTGTCCCATCCCGGCTATAATTGTAAAAGGACACTTACTTTGCAAAATAATTTGTAGTTTTATCATTAAGGGCTCGATTTTGACCATTTAAAGTTTATTATGAAGAGTACTGTATTGCAAATATGAAATTAACTTTAATGTTCTCATCGACGATAAAGAAATGCAATGCGACAAAATTAGCAGTCAAATTCCACGACGCAGAACTTATAATGACTAATTGAAACGCAGAAATTGCTTGCAAAAATATCGTAGTTAAACCATTTATAATATAATTTTAAAACTTTAATGTCCATTTAAGAGAGGAATAATACCTTATTTCAAATACTGATTTAAGTGTCTAATAATAAAGTTCAATTGTTTTCACCAATCATTAAGAAAATGAGTACGAAAAATCGACGCGTAAAAGACATATTAGTAAGTAATAACGGAATTGTCGGAAATTGTTGTTCATTGTAACTATGGTAGGCATGCAATTTGAGCATACCTCTCTTCCGATAGCAAGACACCTTTTTCAAAATTTGAAATTCTTTCTCTTTTTTTAAACAAATGTCATTTCGAACAGCGTCAAAGTTACTCTGGAACACTGAAAATTTGCATCACAAAACTGCAAATGAAAACCACCCCATAAGTTCCAAACTCACAAGAACAATTTTACAAGCATGCTAAGGCAACACTAGCACAGGTTGTCATATTGGGTGTACGATCACGTGTTTCAATATATTTTGCCTTTGATACACTTTTTCCGACTTTTTGAATGCCCTTGACAGATGCTTACAAAAACCGACCAATAAATGAAGCCTTTATAGAATTTTTATGAGATTTTCCGTTTTCGTAGAACCGATGCTATAGACTTAAGTTGTATACAAGGTCACTCGTGTGTATTCATAATGATAAAAAAATAGCAGACACGACATGTTTTTAGACGTTTCTAGCCTCCTTAGCGAATTATTTAATAGTTGAATGCAACTGAATTGTATAATATTTTCTTTTCAACTGCGTCGTATCATTTTGTACAAATCATTATTTTCTTTCAAAATAATAACAAAACATCATAAAAATTCTTGCCCGCTTCGAAGTCCAAGTTCGCTATAACTTTTGTTTGACAAAATAGTTGTGCAAAAAACATGTACCGAACGAAGCGGAAAATAGTGGTATATCTGGTTTTCAGTCATTTCCAACAAAAAGAGCATTAAACGAAATTATACCTTTTTCGTTCCAAGATGGCTTTGTTTGTTTACATTTTGTAGGATACGACGCAGTTTTGATTTCCAGCCCTGTTTTTCATCAAGACAAATATATTTTATTCTTCTGCAAATAGTTCATGTAAAAATACTATGGAGATTTAAATTACATATGAAATCGAAGTTAATTATCATTCGGAAAAAAGGTGAGAACATGACTTTGTGATAATGCTTGTTTATGAAAATGTTTCTAGTATTCAGTTTATGTTATTTTATCCTTCATCCGATTGACAGTGATTGCAAACAGTCACATATATATATTTAATACATTTTACAAAATATTGATAAGTTAAGACCATTTACGAGATGGGTAGATCTAGCTTGCTAAGACATTATATCCAGTTTGTCCTCACACATTTTCAAAATCTAAGTAAAATTTTAGTGCATTCCACACAATTTATCACTTCACGAAAGTAACCCCAAACATTGATAAAAAAGGAAAATGCAAAATTATTAAATTATTTATTATCATAATTGTACGGTATTATAAATGGCATGGTACTAAAACGTTCCGGTTGAATGATATTGTAAGCAAGCTGAAAAACGACGGTCACTTGTCCATCTGTTTGACACTTACAACCTTGCCAATCCACTCAATCAGAGGATTGTACCGTACAATTGTGTAATATTACTGAAAAAATAATCTTAAACGCCATGTTGTTAAATATAAATAACTGACGAAAAATTCGACTTCAAACAGAAGCTTAACCCCTTTTGATCAGAGAATTAGTCAGTCCGGCATATTTTAATATCATCATTAACGAGTACATTAAAGGATGATGTGTCCAAGGGACACATTTCAGCACACTCAAATGCAGGAGAAATCAGGTTTAATTCATCTGGCTGTATACGAAGGTTCTTTTATCAGAATCGAATGCATCTTTCAGGGTTTTATATGAAACACTCCGAAATAATGCGTTAATGCAGACATTTTAAACTTAATGTAATAGTTAATTACTTACTTCAGATAAGCATTGGTAATTTATCAAAATAAACTATTCCAAACATATTGAAAATCATTTAGAATATATCAAATTTATAATGAAGTTATTGAGGAAACAAGACAACTCAACCCCCCAGACGATTCACCCCCCAAAAAACCAAGACAACTCACCCCTCGAGACAGTTCACCCCCCCCCCAAATAGTTAAGACAATTCACCCCTCATAAATGATAATCATGTTTATGGTTAAAAAAAAATCAAAAAGTCAATATATTTATTTATTAAATAATTTATTTATTTATTATGTCATATTTATTCACAAAATATAACTGTATAACAGCACATACAGTATACATGATGTATACGACAGAAAATATAATTTTATTCAATGAAATCAAATAGCACATAGTTTATATTGAGGGAAATGCCCATTATATATACACTTTTCATAAACATATTATCTATCATTTATTTAATAATCCATATATTTTTATTGTATATATAATGCAAACATGTACAACTGTCTGCAGGAATAATTTAATTATCCATTATCTTAAAGTGTTGAAAAACCTATTGTTTATTCTACATCCACTCTTTCACCAGAAGCACTTAACACCTTATCATTGCTTGATTGTCACTTCAACAAAATATTCAAAATGAAAGGGATTAAAGAGCAAATGATTATCACATGTTAATATCTTTGATGTGTCATCTTATAATAACATCAATAGCACTAATACAAATTAAGACAAATTTATGGTGAATTTGTATTTTTTACTGTTTGTATGTAAATAATATGTAAACATATTAATGCATAGTAACAAATAATATTTTTAAGTAATAAATTTTAATAATTAATTTAAATATGACTAAATATTTTATAAATATCAATTAAGTAAAGAAACACAACAAATTTGTTTATTGCATCTTCTAATTTTAAGATAAGTTTCATTAAATTAAATTTAAGAAAATGGGGGGTGAATTGTCTGTGTCATTTTTCCAATAATGCGGGGTGAACTGTCTGATGGGTGAATTGTCTGGAAAAAATGGCTGAGGGTGAATTGTCTGGGGGTGAGTTGTCTGTAAGCCGTTATTGAATACTAATAAAATCTATTCTTTCGCTGTTGCTTTGCAGATAAATTAGTAAGTTAGGTCAACTGACTGCCGAGAAATGACTACATATGTGTTATCATTGGCATTGAAACCAGATAAACAAACAAAGTTTAAGTAAATATAAAGTTTCTGTCCTTATTATTCAATTATAACTCTATTTGGAATAGCATGAATATATACTTGATGCTCAAAGGACTACAACGTGTCATTTCTCAAATAAACCGAATCATGTATTGATTAATTCTGTTGGATTGTGAATCTCATTTTTTGCATTGTTATTATATTAAATTATCAGAAAAAATATTTTTGTTTTATAGTATCGGCCAATACAAATTGTTTCGTGATTCGTTATCCGCTATTAGGTCGTGCAATGGTAATGAGTATTAGAAATTTGAACTTATAGTTTTATCTCGCAAACGGAATATATTTTTTGTTTTCTTCCTATTAATTTAATTATTTATACAGTTGCTCAATTAGTGTGTTACCAGAGTGCAATTTACGGCAATGAAGTACAAAATTACATTCTGACATTAGAGGTTTTATTTCCAATGGCATTTTCCAGCAAGTATTTGGTGGGAATAATATCACATCTGGTATTTGCCAACTGCAATGGCTGTAGGTTTCCAATATTACACAAATTAACTTTTCAACGCTACTTAATTTAGCCTAATTTATCTACAAAATATTGTATTTCTCTCTTTATGATGTTTGTATTTTAATAAATGTACTAGAGAACAAGTTTTTAAATAGCATCCTGTCAGGAGTTTTCAATGGTTTAGTGTGTATATGATATTAATAAACTGTTCCAGGTCATATCAACTCCTGTATGATTAAAGGAAACATAAAACCAGAATAACATGAACGTATTTAATGTTCCGGAACATCTTTTTAACTATTAAGACCTTTTTCTCAACCGGTAGATACCGTTTATATACCAACGTTTCAGAGGCACTTTAACAATGGACAAGAGCTATCTGACCTCATTTCGCAGAAATCTAGAAATGATTTGACAGTTGAGATATTAGCACCATATTTGTTGTTCATTTAGTTCTTTCTCTTTTTTTCTTCGGGTGGTTTCCATTTTTCCGACAGCTGTAAATCACTTCTCAAAGTTTTATTATTTTCGCCTGCTGTTTTCTCGTTGGGGACACGTGCATTTTCTTCATTAGGAATCAACATGCATATCTTCGTTTAGTGTTCTATGAATTATGCCCTATGAACACTTCTTGAGATATTGCTAAAAAACAAATAACGTCATTTCAATGCCATATTTGCCATATTAAATAATGCTGAAAGCGATAAGTGTGTGGCTAATTTTTAGCTTCTATCAAACACGATCAACCAAAGAAACAGACAAGAGACCCTAAGACAATTTTGTGGTGTTTTTCGACTACCTTTGATATTTGTACATTTAACATTATGTATTTAATGATGAATGAAGGTAAACATTTGATAAAATTCACTAGTATATATCCCTGTACGATTCTATTGTACAATAATTTGTCTAGCCGCTACAAAAAAGTTATTTAATTATAAAGTCATCATATCGGTGTAACATTTAACAATTCTCTGAAGAAATGGCTTTTGAATCGAAAAATATGCAATAAAGAACAAACGCAATACTGAATGATATCCAACAGACAGTCCGCGATGTAGAAGTACTTTGTTATTGGTGCGGACTTGCGTTCTTCATGGTATATTTGGCATCATAAAAGTGTTAAAGCCAACCAGAATTCGAGAAATTTATTGTATTGTTATAGATATATGTATCAAATGTCAATATTTGTATCAGTATTTGTACAAAGCATTTCTGTTCGCAGAGAGACAAGAGAAAAAGAGTTTTTGGCCACCAGGACCATACGCAATACCAATGTCGAAGTATGGTTGTCCAGAATCATGGTCTCGTGGATGGTTAAAAAGCTTTTTGAAGATCAACATGAACGTTTTAGCTAGCAGTCTTGAAAAAAGAAATTCCACCGTTTTGGACTATAATTCCTTATTTGTAGACAGCGCCTTTTTCACACCGCCATTTCAATCAGGAGATGTGAAGCTTTATTTTTGCGTGAAATTCCGGAATGAAGCCACACTAGATCAAGAACAATGGATTCCAGGAGACTACAGTATTTATAAGATTGGGTCATCGTGTCCTACAGGTTAGTGTTAATAAATTAATTCCTATTTGAATAACGAGTTTTGATTTCGGTTAAGCCAGTGATTGTCGGTATGAAAGTGATTGCATGTTCGGATAGACCCAATGAAACGTGTCTGTCATTTTCCTCTATTTCTAATTCGGTTGCTCACTGCTCAGGTATATCTGATAGAATGTCAGACGATCAATTAATGACCATATTAATCCCTCTATCATTATATTTCTAGATTTCGAAGAATCAAGCAAAACGCTTCCTGTTACTAGCCTTGTGTCGTATGGACTCGTTCCTAATATTACAGTACCGAAAGGTTTGTGTGCTAATCACATTAAGTTAATCCTCTTCCGTGTAGCGGAAAGTGGATTATAGGAATGGCCTCCGTCTGTCAGTCCTTCCGTCTGTCCGTACGCCTGTCCGTCCGTAACACTTTTGTGTCCGCTCCATAACTTTTAAACCACTAAAATGTTTTTTGAAATAAATTGGCACAAGTAATCACTATAATCAGGCGATGTGCAGAGCGCAATAATTGGGTTGCCATCCCCAAGGTCAAGGTCATACTTTAAGGTCAAATGTTGTAAAGTATTCTTTTCATATTAAAAGTCTACATTTCATGACCGCTTAATAACTTTTTAACTTTGAAATAACTTGTCACAACTGATCACCATTATAAGACGACGTGCAGAGCACACTAATTTGCTTGCTACCAAAAAGGTCAAGGTCACACTTTAAGATATGTTAAAAAGTCTACATTTCATGTCCGCTCCATAATTTTTTAACCGCTGAAGTTTAAAAAAAAACTTATCACAATTGATCACCATTATAAGAACATAGGGAGAGCACAATTATTAGGTTGCCACCCCTAAGGTCAATGTCACACTTAAAGGCCAAATCTATAAAAGTATACTTTTCGTGTCCCCTCCATAACTTTTCAACCTCTGTGTTTTTAATAGCTTGGCACATGTGATAACCATTATTAGAAAATGTGCAGAGCGCAACAATTTGGTTGCTATCCCCAATGTCAAGATCATACTTAAAGGTCTAGTGTTAAAGGTATACAATTAATTTCCGCTCCATACATTTAAAACTGTTAAAAATGATTTTTCAATAACTAGCCACGAGTGATCACCATTATGAGACGATGTGCAGAGCGAAATAATTAAATTGCTACACCCATGGTCAAGGTCAAACTTACAGGTCAAATGTTAGAAAGTCTGCATTTCGTGTCTGTCCATAACATTTTAACCGCTGCAATGTTTTAAGATAACTTTGCAGAAATGACCACTTGCTGGGTGCCTTAAAGGAACTCCAATGAGGTCGAAAATCCAAAAAAAATAAAAAACATTCTTACATAGAACAACTTGGGCATTTCAAAGAGTAATATATGCAAGAAATCATTAAAAAATATGCTTAGAAATAAATTGAAAATCGTGTTTTTGTGCAATTCTTGTTCATATTGGAGTGTAAAGTGTTGTTACGATTTTCAATTTTGGTCGTTTTTCACAATTAGAATAATTGTAATTATATATTCTGTAACAATGGGGTGAGCAAATGATTTATTTTTACACACAAGTTGTTTGTCTATAACTACATCAAATGGAACATTTATTCAAGTTACAGGCCTGTTATGTCAACAGTAAAAATCTGTTGAGCCCTTTTAAGGTAGGCTGCGTTGCATTTTTTATTACTGAACCTTTACGCCTCAGACGGATAAAATTATATTGCAAGTTTTGTTCATGGTTTTGTTTACTATGTGCACTATTGTTTTAAATGTGTGCCAAAGAAACACATTATTTTATTCTATTAAAGGGTCATCGGAAGAGTTTATCAACATTTCCATGTGCAAAAGAACAAATTTTACCGACACGGGCGACAACAACAAGAATGTAACATTCAAAATGTTGGAAACTGATTTTATTCTTGAGAAGGCAATGCCTAATTATAATATATTTCTCTCTGCAAGATTTAGAAATCCTTTTAATACAAACATGCAGTTTTTACAATAATTGATAATAAAACGTGTTTAAGATAAAATGTAAAAACTATCTAAATTGTAAAGGCTGCCCTTTCTTTTTGAAAAATGTGAAATTTATCGATACATTTCGAACGATATTTATACAACTGTCCTTGTGTTATACGGATTATTGGTTAATTTTTGCATGAATGATAGTGAAATATCCAAATGGACACAATTATGGTTAAATGTAGTTATTTTTTACTCTTACCTTAACATGTCGATGGGCATAATATCACTTTGAATTTTACAGGATCTAGATTCAAATTGCACTCATTTTGACGACGTTTCAACTGTGTTTCAGGGAGACATGCACTGTTTTTATAACCCAAATGGTATGTTTTTTATAAACGCTTTAACATTGAATATTTGTAACTTTTTAATTCAGTTTTAATATTTTTTTTTATTTTTTAGGCACATTGTGTAACAGATATGATTAATTTTTTGCTTACCAAACAAAAGAACAAATATGAGTATTATAAAAAAAATTCATAATTGTTTTAGAGCATGATAGATGTCAATATTCTTTGGAAAGTAGTGGTGAAACTTCAAATATTTGTCATAATTGAAGAAAATGTAAACAAAGTAGTACTTTGACTTTCCTAAAAAGTACTTAAACACTATAACTGTACAATTTGCTACAAAGAAACGGAAGAAAAATATGGTCAAGGTATTTGGCCATTGAGCAATTTTTATTATTATATTTTTTTTTTTTGAAATTATATCTGGACACCAAAACCTAAAAACGCTTTTAAGAAATGAAAATAAAAGCATTTCAGGGGCATAATGCGCCTTTTAGTTTAATATGTAAAAACAGCTTTACTAAAAATGAGAGAATTAAGTAAAGTTATTAAAGTTTATTAGTACGTATTTACAGACTTTACAGAATTGGTCAGGCGCGGCGACCAATTTAATTTTGTTAATACGTACTAATAAATTTAACCCGTTTAGTGTTTTAAATCATCTTTATAAAGAGTCGATTTACTAGATTGATTCACAGTTTGCCGATTTACCAAAATAAATGTGTTACGATTCATTTGAGATACTGCAATCCTATTGGACAAAAATAATTTCAAACACTAATTTCAGAGGTATTTTATGTGTAACGGTATATTGGTGCAGTAATATATTTTCTAAGAAAAGAATAGTTAATCTTTTCAATCTGCTAGATAATAACCTGTTCACATTTCATGTTTCCTTGATAAAACTTCCAATCTATTTTCTTCCGTTGTTTTCAGTCGTGGAATTTGATTATGAATCATTAACAGGTATGTATAAATAACAGTATTTAATATATTATATAAGATATTTGCTGCTACATGCAATGCAAAATAGCTTTTGCAATCTCAATATGAGGTACCTTTATTTATACTTGGATAGTGGTCAGTTTATTTTCTAAAAACCTATAGAAAAGTGGCGTCCGTGGCCAAGTGATAAAGGTCATTGACTTCAAACTACTTGCCCCTCACCGTGTGGGTTCGAATCCCGACAGGGACTTTGGATTCTTTCATTTGAAAAAGCTATCCAGCTAGCTTACGGAACGTCGGTGGTTCTACTCAGGTGCCCGTTCGTGCCCGAAATAATGAACGGAAGGACACCTGAGGCTTTCCTCAACCAGTGAAGCTGGAACGTCGCCATATGACCCATACTGTGTCGGTTTAACGTAAAACCATATCAAACAAACAAACAAACAAAACCTTAAGCAGAATCCATTGCAGTAACGTTAATCATCTTATCTTATTGTCCCCGCCCTTTTGAAGAAAAAGGGGGATATAGAAATAGGCTCCGTCCGTCTGTTCGTCCGTCTGTCTGTACAAAACCAGAGGTAAAAATGGCTAAAAAGATCAAAGGAAAAGTCACATAAGTACCATATTGTAAGTACGTCCGTCCGCCCGTCACACTTTTGTGTCCGGTCCATAACTTTGTCATTTATCAAAGGAATTTGAAATAACTTGGCACATGTTTGTTATAAAAAGACGACGTGTCATGCGTAACAACCAGGGTCAAGGTCGCACTTGCTCATTGAAGGCCAACATTGTCTATTTGAGGTTATATGTCGTGTCCGGCCCATAACTTTCTTATCTATGCAGGGATTTTGTAAATACTTGCCACAATTTCTTCACAATAATGAGACAATGTGTCATACGCAAAAACCGGTCACCTACCTCGAAGGTCAAGGTCACACTTTGACGTCAAAGATTAACATAGTCTGTTAAAGGGTATATTTTGTGTCCGGTCCATAACTATTTCATATATCAAAGTATTTTGAAAAAACTTGGCACAAATAGTCACTATAATAAGGGAATGTGTCATGCGCAACACCTGCATCCCTATCCAAAGGTCAAGGTCACACTTAAAGGTCAAAAATTAACATAGTCTGTTATAAGTTATATTTTGTGTCCGATCTAGAACTTCTTCATAGTTTAAGGGATTTTGAAATAACTTGGCACAAATAGTCATAATAATAAGATGTCATGTCAAGTTTAACACCAGCACCCCTACCTCCAAGGTCAAGGTCACACATAGAGGTCAATAACTTCTTCATAGATTAAGGAATTTTATAAATACTTGGCACAAATAGTCACAATGATAAGATGATATGTCATACGTTACATCTTTGTCCTTACCTTCAAGGTCAAGATCACAACTAGAGGTCAAAAATTTACATAGTCTGTTATTGGGTATATTTTGTGTCCAGTCCATAACTTTTTCATAGATCAAGTTATTTTAAAAAGACTGTAAACAAATTATCACAATAATAAGACTATATATCAGGCGCAAAACATGGGTACCTACCTCCAAGTCACACTTAGAGGTCAAAGATTAACATAGTCTGTTATAGGGAATATTTTGTATCCGTTCTATAACTTCTTCATAGTTCAAGGGATTTTGAAAATACTTTGCACAAATAGTTACTATAATAAGACGATGTGTCATGCACAACACCTGCACCACTACCTCCAAGGTCAAATTTAGCGGACAAAGCTTGACATAATAGATTTTTAAATTCCGTGTTTCATTTTATTTCTTTAATAAATTTATTGTTGCATTTGCAGATCTAGCATTGATCATTTTTTTTGGACTAAAAGTCATGAGATCCATACCTCAATCTTTTGAAGTAGCACAAGCTTCATATAAAACTTCCTAGAGGTGGGGGACGTTGATAACTCTGTTACAAATTCTTGTTTATTTTGTATTTTGTGTTGTACGACTCTTTTTTTTATAAGTACGCACGATGATATATGAAATTATAAATTAATGAGTAACAATGGTTTAATACTGAAACTTTAATTGATGATCTTTGCGCAAAAGTATCAAACTTTCTGCGTTAAAATACCTGTTTTCTTGGTTCCAGAATTGGTTCTGGAGAAAGGAAGACTATCCAAATTACATCAAGGTAGGACTTAGCACTAAACAACATTGTATTTCTACACCTACGATGGGTGGTTGATTTTTGCCATGCCGTATTTTTGCTCCGCTGAGCGCCAAGCGACAACACGAAAATACGAGTAGTGACGATTTTTCATGTTTTCGCACTGCTCCGCGCGGAGGGAAAGCAAGACAAAATGTTGTCGTATTTTCGTTCGGCGCCCAGCGGTCCGAAAATACAACATGGCACAATTCAGCCACTATATAAACCACATACATTTGCAAGAGTGATAATATTTGTTGTTGTTTCTTAATGTTTTATAGAACAAGAATACATTTTCAGTCATCTTCGTCTTAAATATTAGTACTTATACATTTATTCCAAAAATTTATATATTTTTCCCTAAATACATAAAATTACAAGCTTTAAAATAATAAAAACACCTTCTTATACTTACTCTGGGCAAAATCCTAGACAGGGACTGAACGCAGACTTGTTGTTTATTTTTTAGAAATGGATTTAACGGGCATTACCGAATGGTATTTCTTGGACTGTCAGCGCTCACTTGATGTTCTTATGATTGATATAAAGTCTTTGGTAAGAATGCTATTTCACACTGCTATAACCAAAAATGCGAAGCCATTTCAATATGTCTTAACACATGCAAATAAATCTTATTCCAAGTATTCTTTATAATGGTAACTGATCCCTAATAAGCATTACTGAATATTAGTCTATTAGTAAGATATTTTATATACTCTATTAATTGTATACGATTTGGCCTTATTGTATTGGTCGACTTTACATATATCTTACAGTTTATAGTACAGTTTACTTTCCATTCTTAATAAATATAATAATCAAACATACTGTGCATGTGAATGATGTTTTTGTATTGGTGTTTTGAACGTCGAAATAACACAGCAGAGGTCATTTGGCGATTTTAAAGGGTTACTTGTGGAGAAAGGCCTTATACCCCCTCCCTGCATGATTTCATGCACAAACGGACAACGTGAAAGAGCCACAGATATTCCGTAACTAAGTTTGGTAGCTTGCTAACATGAAAGAATATAGAGGCCCTGGCGAGATCTGAGCTGAAAGCGGTGATGGGCAAGTATTTAAAGTCATTAACCTTAACCACTCAGCCATGGATGCCCCTAATATGAATAGATAAAACGTAGTAAATTTACCCATATTTCACCTGACATCAAATTAATTTTCAGTGTGTTGTAATCTATTTTATTAAATGTCAACATTAAAAAAGTAGGCCGTGTAATACGTATATGCCCTCTAATAGCATTATTGAACTCAAATGATATTATATGTCTTGTCCGGAGAAGATTGCACAAGTTCTGGAGATACTGTTTAAACCTCAGTTAATCGTTTAATAGCATTGAAAATATTCAGGGTATATACAGGTATATACAACTATCCGAAGAATAGTTGTACCGCAAGTAAATTGCACCTCAAATGTTTAAAAAATTTAAATTTCACATTTCGGTTAATAGGGATATTTTCTTGTAGCAAAATCCTTTTATCCAGTGTTTTGTCAATGATGTACCAGGAAACTTACAAGAATCGCGATTTTGTAACACAGACGATAACTTTGGAAGGCTTCATTTAAGGTAATAACATAATTACGTTATATAAATGATTTTTTTCATTTAATCATTGATTAATTTAATAAAGAGTGATGGGAAAAGAAAAAGCGATAGTACTTTAAAACATGCATGTTGTTTTTTATTCTTTTACTTAATATTTATACTATTGCCCTTTGTGGCTGATGTTGTCTTTAACGGTTGAGACATCATAATTGCAACCATTGTTTATCTCTGTCCCAGCAAACACATGACGTTGTTTCAACGTTGCTCAGACGTTAGAGTCCGACGTTGGATAGACGTTGGAATTTAGTTGTATATGAAAGTTTTTTAGACGTCAGAATCCGACGTCAATCCAACGTCATAAAATGACATAAATCCAACCTATATGTAACGTATATACAACTACTTTCCAACCTATTCCCAACGTGAATCCAACCAGTTTCCAACATGATTCCAACCAGTTACTGACGTAATACCAACTAGTTTCCAACGTAATTCCAACCAATTCCCAACATAAATCTGACCCGTTTTCTTTAAATAATTCCCAAATAAAGAGAAAATACAAAACTTTCTATACTCGAAAAGTGATTTTATTATTCAAGAAAGTAATCATAAAAACAATTAAACGAACTATTCATGTAAAACTTACTATACAGTAAATATATTTTTCCAACATATATGCATAACATCAAAAAAGGACTCACTTTTAATCATTTATAGTGATAACAAAATAAGGTTTGATATTTATAAAATGTATATAAACTATTAAAATTAAAAAAAATAAGAGCTACATGTCTTTTCAAAATTGTTCAACATTTATCAGACCTCTTTCAGTCAATACAATAATACACATTGTGTAATCCAAAATTATAACAAATAACAGTCAACAAATCATTTACATTTAAAGGTCTATGTACAGTATACATTAACTACTATTATCTATTACAACATATGTCAATTAAAGTTTACAACATGCTTAAAAAGGTTTTCTTTTAAAAACTCATAGAAAATGGAATTCATGGAAAATAAACCTTTCTTTTGCAGTTGATTTCATCGGTAACAAAATTGGATAAGTGAGGGAAAATATTCCCTTCTGTCAAAATTAAATGTAACACACAAAACAATAATATTTACTTTTAAAGAAAGTAGGTGTTTTTTTTTGGTCTTTTTTCTTCTAAAACTAACTTAAAAATATTAAATTTGGAGATATACTCCTCCATGTGAATATTTCTGATATACTAAACGTTCACCACTGGATCCTGATTATTTTCATCTACGGAGACACTGTGTCAAATAATGATGTAAAAACTTGTTTTGAGGTTCAACTTGTCTTTTCCCCTTGAAACTGCAAAAAAAGAAATAGAAATAAATAGGTGTACATAGTAACTAAAATGGTCTTATATCAATAATATTAAATTACAATATTATTACCCATAGATTACACTAGCATATCATAAATTAGAAACATGTCGATTGATGATGTAGAACACTCAAAAACTATAACTTCAAATATATGTAATTTGCAAAACAGTAACATGTAAAGGTGCAAATTCAATCATAAGACATTTCACGTAATTATTTTACTTTTGATTAACAGTTAATTTTGACAAAACACAAATTATAGTAAATAACAAAATCAAAATCCATATATTACCTTAATTTGATGTCCTCATCATTCTTTTATGTCCAAATGTTTTTTTCTGTCGACTGTTTTTCATGTATACAAATATATACATTGTTATCAGCTAATTGTCATCAAACATTAGAGTCAGTCTATAAAAAAACAAATCCAATGATTATTGACAAAAATTAAGTTATAAATTTACTTTGACAGTATACTTTTGTTGATAGATCCCTACTTTGACCTTTTACGTGTAGATCTATTTGAATAACAATAGATTAAATCTCAAATATTGACATGTGTTCCTTTGTTAACAAATACGTTGTGGTGAAATACCTTTTGTTATCTAGTCTACTAATCTGAGAGATTAAGGTCATGATGGGATCTTGGCTTAAAATGACAACACAAATAAAACAAAATAATTGACAGAATTTCATACAATGTCTATATCATTTGAATCCCAAAGTACGAGTTAAATTAGGGCGAATCAGAACATGTTAATAATGAGATAATTGAAAATCATGAAAATATATATTCCTTATGTAACTAATAATTTTTCAGTTATTATACTATGCATGCAGTAAGTTTAATAATAATCTACCTCCAAAAATATCACTTACTTTTTACTTCTATGATGTCTATAAAGTCCTTTGTCTTTGTTTGAATTTGAAAACAAGTTGTTGTTGTAGCCTCGTTTTGAAATTCATCAAGTTTCCGTTATTTTTTTCAATTTATTTAAAATACTAACATTGTTCCTTTCTATTGTCTAGTATAACAAAAAAAAATTTTAACAATACAATGGATGTGAAGAAAAAAATGAATAACAAAATTCGAATGATTATCTTGAACTTAAATAAGAGCCACCTATCGGGTTTATAAATCAGAACAAAGGGAAGTGACTCAATCAAGACTACTGTGTTAGATTTCACTGAAATCCGACGTCGTATCGACGTAATTCCAACACGTTGATACGACGTCGTAAATACAACGTTGTGTCAACGTTGTATTAAGGATTTTGACGTCGCGACATAAATCCAACTTAGATCTAACGTTGAAACAACGTCAGGTGTTTGCTGGGGTGTGATCGTAAAAGACGACTTAATGGTTCGAATAACTCTAGAGTCTATGCATCTCTTAGCTTCAGCATATGAGTTGGTTTTGACCACTTGTGTTTCTTTTAGTTTGTAAAACCTGAGGGTAGCCAAAATCATTCTTGCCTTATGACCTAAATAGCGTTGTGGCGCCGTAAAATAAAATAAAACAAACGTTAACTATTGATACATCTTTGTACGAAATAGCAGATGTTAAATTCTTGTTTTAAAACAAATACATAGAAACATTATAAACTATAATTTGAATGATTGTATCCTGTCTGTAAAAAAATATTCATTATACTTACGGTCAGATATACATATTTCTATCGAAGACATAACAATTTCAAACTCATGACTGATTTTTTTTAAATATATGTAATTATGAACTGTTTTTCTCTTTAATATGAGATTTACCTCCAAACAATTCACGAGACTAGGCACAAAGCACTAACAAATCAAAATTTAAAAAACAAAAACAAAAAAACAACAAAAAAACAATAATAAAAAAACACATTAATTATGACATCTTGAAAACATTTCAATTTATCTATTATATAACAGTCCATTAAGGAAATTTAATCTTAGATTAGTAAGTTATCAAATTTCAGGAGAACACGAGGTCGGTATTTCACATTTGCATCTTGGGAAAGCATAGAAGGTGTTATGTCAATTAGGGTGTTTTTGTCAAGTGTTGAAGCACGTAAGTATAATAATGTTATTTTACAAAATACACTCCGACCATTTTGTGTAGAGAAATAGCTAAAGGAACGTCAGTGTTTCTACTCAGGTGCCCGTTCGTGTCTTAAATAATGCACGACGGAGCACCTTAGGTCTTCCTCCGCCAGTAAAAGTGAAAAGTCGCAATGCGACCTTTAATGTGTTGGTGCGGCATAAAACCCAACCAAGAAAAAAAATGAAAAGAATGAAAAATAACCAGTTCTATAACATGTCCTCTCATGAGAAAACACATTCAATCATATTTACTAAATGACAGGAATAAAACCTAGCACTTACCTTGTAAGATGTTTTTGCAATATTTATCTGCTGAATATTTCAACCAACAACAATAGAGTGATAATAACAAATAAGGTAATAATATCAATAACAATAAACAATGCTTCAATAACAAATATATTTTTTCAAGAAAATATAAATTTTTTATACAATCAAGTTATGACTATTTGCAACTAAAGTGGATAGGTCTACAATGGGCATATTTTCCATAAATGTTTCAAATATTGATAAAAACAATAGAATATTTATCATTTGGATATTCCAATAAAATCTCGCTTGGAAAAAAATGAAAATAAAGTTCTGAATGATTTAGAAGGAACATTTATCTGGTGATAAAAAAATATTTTGTTCTAGAACACCTTTTTATCCCCTTTATAAATATCTGTACTGTCGGATCATGCATTTCACAATCGCCAACAATTTCAACTTATAATTCTTTTGTGGTTGGTTGTAATGTCAAATATCAAATACTATCAACTTTTGATTGAGTCTGTACATTAGCAATAATGATAAAGTGAAACATCCCTCACACTCCTAGCACTGGCCTGTGCGGTACTCAGTTTTCAACACTTAAAAAGTTTTGGAATCAATGATCAGAAAAATCTAACAACATTGGAGTAAAGTACGGCGCTTTCTACACCTGCCACACAGCTCTTGACACCTGTTTTTTTAATTTTATAAAACACGGGATATAGTGTTATCCCCTATAGGCATTAATCACAACAAAATAACATAACAATTGCAGACTCGGTTTAATTAAGTCTGTACAATAGGGATAATGATAATGTGCAACATCCCTCACGCCCCATAGCACATAGGTTTGAGAGACATTTAATTTTCAACACTTAAAATGTCACGGTTTCAATCTCACGTTGTAGTTTAATAATATGTTTCTTATTAAGGTTCTTTTCATAAACTATACAAGTCTAAACAAATACATGTTTTTGTATTGAGTTTTTTAATCTTTCCAACATTAAATCTAAAATGTGTGTAAGTCATGCTATCCTGAATAGTTTTGATATGGTATTGCTTTTTCATACTTATAGAAAATGGTGAGTCATGCTTTGAAAGTATTGAAATAGTTGACAAACAGGTACCTGGCAGTCAAATAACTGTTTCGTCTGCGCACTCAATACAGATACCATCAGATGTCACATACAAATTAACTGGTTGGATCCCTGACTTGACAGATATTACTCCTTGGATTTTGGTTTGTTGAGTTTATTTTCAGATTCAGACTGCATACTTCATGGAAGCAATGATAAAGTATTCATAGATATTGATTTTAACTGCATACAACTAGCACTTGCTGTCAGTCGATTGTATTGTTTTTGTTTATATCATGATTATAATAATAACTACAGAATGACAAGAATCAAAGAAATGTGTTGTTATAATTTATTAAAGTAACTTAGATGTGCTGTGAAATCATCGCAATGACTACTTAAATGGTAACGGAATATATAATTGTTTCGTTACCAATTTATTCAGTTAACGGAGAAAATTAATATATCAAAGTATGTACACCTTCTTTGTTACAAATCTTTTCAAGAAACAACCATTAGTTTATGAATAGGTTAAACCGTTTAAAGCAAACATTGTATGTTCTTACTGTGTTTAAATGAAATGACATATCTAATCATTTGAGAGACGTAAGTGATTTGTAATCAAACATACGCTTGTTCTAGCTTAAATTATGTTTCTTGATCTAGGTGGATCTAATTTCTACAACGACACTAGAAGGAGTTGGTATCTATTTTTTCAAAAGTTGTGATAGGTGGACCAATTTCAGTTTATCTTTTGGCACGAGAAAGGATCAATTGCAGATGTACAAGGACATGGTAATCGAATTTCGTTTGCCTAACAATTGTGCATAATATAAACAAAATACTTTACTTCCTGTTTTTTGACTGAACTATATTTTTCATTAATTCTCAGTATGGCTCTTTCCTAGAAAACCCATAAAAGTCATATGTATGTCCTTTTCCTACGAGTATTAGAGTATTCCACGAACAGGCTTTATCAAACCAAGCCTGCAGCATTTGTTGTTTTAAGAGTTCTTCAGGAATTATTTTTTCTTTATTTAATCCTATCCTGTTAATACATTTTAGCCTTCATTTCTGTCCATCGTTCTATCAATAAAGACACGTCTATTGTTTTTGTTTGAATCCATTGTCCGTATCAAATGTACATGCAGAGTTTTCAAGAGTATTAAGGTGCAGCAATCAAAACAATATAAACATATAAATACATCAACCAACGAAATGTTTAAAAAAAAGAATTGTATAAGAATTGATTGGGCTTTTGTTCACAGCGTGATTATAAAACGAATACATTTTGCGTTGCATCTATCAAGAGGGGTTTAAACAGTGTGAATGTGAGGCTTCCTCTAAAATAATAAAAGAACTAGGCATTTTATTTTTGGAGTTAATAGAGCATCTAAATAGAACATACTATATTTATATACGCTTCCTAATTTTAATACAATATTGAAATGGGTTTGATCTAATCCATCGGCATTTTCTATATTCTAAAATATACCGGTATTCATGTTTCAAGAATCTAAATAACTCAGAATTAATGTTGTTGTATAAACAGGAAGAAAAAAAGTAGAAGCTATAATGGAGATAGGTTTTGATTTTCAGGAATTTAGGATTTTTCCACCAGAAGACTCGTTGAACAAAGATCAGATGTTTACTTTTCCTAGACCAATCAAAGCAAGATACGTACAATTCAATGATTCAGTTGAAAATCCATCGAACAAACCTAGATGCCTTATTTTTCAATTATACGGGTGTAAATTAATAAGTAAGTAGATTATTAATGACATACAGTTAAAAGCATCATATTTTTATTACATGTACTACATATGTATTAAATAATAACTTAGATCTTTAACAAAATCCGATACATATTTTACTTACGTTATGTAATTTTTTCAAGTTTATTGAAAGAGACTACAAGACTAATTGGGCCGAGTTTATCTAATACAACGTTTTTATATTTGATTTGTATAATATGTTTACACATGTCACTTGAATGAATAAATAAATTACTTACTTAAATCGTATTAATATATATATATATATATTTCATTATGCCATGTGATCGATATTCGTTTTATTTCTAATATTATTTTATCCTCATATTTGTATGTATCATATTTGTCTATATAAAATGTTCTCAATATTTATGTCCACCATCCTGTATATTATTCCCCTTTCATCACTTACTTATACTAACAACTTATTTTTTATACTTTATTGAGACGTAACTTGCATGCCGGCATCAGTTCTTACAAACTTGCCGAACAAACCATTTCTCGTATGCGCAATTGATTTCGTTAGTTTCAACCAGAAATTGTTGTTATTTATTTATTTATATTATCAAGGCTTTTGTTTATATTCTTAACTGACACAAACAGACTTTAACAGACATTAACAGTCGTTAACATACAAAGAAGAAGGACCATATGACATAAACATTTGTCATTAGATATTTATCAGAATATATATTGTTGAACAGGATTTACGGACATAAATAGAAACAGTTTATCTGAAATGCTGCCTCTTGAACAAGAATTGCGATCTGGAGACTCAACGTTTGTTAGAAGTACAAATGTGGAGGAATGTAAAGCTCTTTGTAGTTCAAAATACAATTGCAGTGTAGCCAGTTTTAGTGAAGAGAAACTTTGTTATCACTACATGGGTAGTGAACTTGGAATATGGAAAAGTGTCGAGATTGCCAATGGTAGTCAGTGGTTTGCCAAACTACAAAACAATGGTATGTCAGCATTTTATCATAAAAAATGATTTATCAACTTTTTAACTGTTCATATTGTTGTATTTCGTTGAAAGGAACTTTTATTACGGTATAGCTTGAATAGAACTGCAGTATTAACTGATATGACCCAAAAGCAAACGAACTTTTAAACATTCAGGGGCCAACGGGCCTCGTAAAAATTAGATATATCGAGTTTCAGTGCTCAATATCACTCGTGCACTGTCCACTTTTCGTTAAGTATAATTACACGTTTTGGCCATATTTGACCATATTTAAATGGATCGATGATGTTATATTAGAAACGACGCTTTATGCGATGATTTTACATTATAATATTATGGATTATTGAATGAGTGTAAATTCATTACTGAAGATGAATACAATTATATTAGGCGAGCATAATATTATTTAATTCAACAAGTTCAATACATTTTGTGCTGTAGCTACACAAATGTAATATTGTATATAAATTGATATAATATCATATATCACAAATTGAAAGTCTGGTAATATAATGATCAAGAAACTCATTTTGCGATTTAGTGATATATTAAAAACTTAGTCAATCAATATGGATTCAAAGCCACGGTCATAACATTTGGTCGGAGTCGCAAAAGAGGCACGTGTTAGTTTAGTTACCAAGGCTTTTGTTTCAAACACTTTTGTCACTTTAAAAAAGGAATCTTTATTTAGTAAGGCATAAAAATGTGTTATTAGGGTAGCATGTTCTCCAGAAATAGGTAGGGTAGGTGGGATTTCTTTAAAAATCATGATAAGTTCTAGACCTCTAAATCCGGAGAACATTTTCATGCCGTTTTGTTTAGTTGTTATTGGTGGGTTACGTAAAAATCGGCAAAATTACATATAAATACTTGTTTGGATAGACTCTTTTATTGAATTCAATTATAGGTTTGTCAGGAGAATGAGTGCCTTGATATTATTTAATCTTAGGAAGGATTTAGTAATAAAAACTAGAACCAACAAGTTATGCACCGCCTGACTAAAAACTGAAATATTCTCAGTTGGAAAACTAGCCTGTAATTATTTAATTAACTTTGTTTTTTAAACTTTTTCTATCTCAAATCCAAATATACATTAATACAACAAACTCTGATCATTATGTACACACAAAACAAAGATCTCTGATCATTATTATCAACCAAAACAAACACGCGTCATTTATCAACCGCTTATATGAAATACCTTTTTACGTATTGATACGGAACAATACTAGACACCTGGCGAGTCCAAGCTCTAAACAACTTATGATCAAATAAAACTAAACAACTTATGATCAAATAAAACAATAAAATCGTCACAAAATGAAGAACACAAAATAATTATTTTTATACTCGAAGATACATTATAAACCACAAACATTCAGTCAACAATATTATCCGCACAAAATCCAATCAGACTAAAAGAACAACTGAAACTAAAACACGCAATATTTAGAAATATCTTCAAAATCAAAGCATCAACTAATATAATCTTGACCAGGCAAAATCACTCTAATCTTTCAACAAATATCAACCAAATATTTCTTACCAAACAGATATAACTCAACAACCAAACATATTGCAACAACCAACACAACTAATTACAACTAATGAACCCTGATCAATTAAGATCACCACTTCTTAAAAAATAAACGCTACACACTACAAGTGTGCCTTCCCTAAACTGATGTAAATTTCTCCTAAATCTCGCATATTTGCTAGCTTAACAATTTAGCATTCACATGTACATATTTTTTTTACACAAAGCAACAGATTTAAAAATAGGCTTCCATTGAAACATGATATTTACACTTCATCTCAAATAATGCATCGCTGTAAGGATATATTAACTTGTTGTCAAATATATATATCTACATATAAACTGTTTTATTATTCTGAGAGCCCCAACTCAAGAAAACACTCCACTGTTTTCAAACAATATAAATAATCTACAATGTCTCTGTTCAGGTATCGAGTCTACTTAGGTAATCTGCACACACGTTGTCCTTTCCTTTCACAGTTACTTTTCTATACTTATAGTTCTGTAGAAACAAAGCCCATTTCATTATGCGGCCAATGTCAACTTAAATCTTCTGAATATATGTTAAAGGAGCATGGTCAGTATGCAGCTGAAAATCTTTTCCATAGAAATATTTGTTGAATTTCTTTATTCCAAAATCTTTGCAAGACATTACCTTTCGATCTCTTTCTCTTTTTAACAATTTCTCACTCGCAAAAGCTATTTGAAGCAAACCATCATCAAACTGTTAAAAAGTGCAACCCCAACCCCGGTGTGTAAAGCATCACATTGCAAAAAAACGACTTTGGAAAGCGTAGTATTGGTGATCGTGTCAATGCTTGCTTTAATGTCGTTAAGGCCTTTTGATGTTCTGGTTTCCATATGGTTTTATTTGGCTGTCCTTTCTTTGTAAGATATGTCAATGGTGCAGCAATTTCTGCAAATGAAGCAATAAATCTTCTGTATTAATATCGAGCTAAATTAAGAAATTATCTCAGTTGCTTCTTTGACGCTGGTCGCATAGCGTCTCTAATTTTACTCAATTTGTCATCTTTTATTTGCATATGACCTTTGCCAACAACTTGACCCGTAAATGGTATCCTTTCAAATCCAATCACAAATTTAGAAGGTTTAACTGTGATTTTGCTTCTCGTATTCTTTTGAACAACTGTCTCAACATCTTCATAAATCTCTCTCGTGTTACCGTATGTCAAAGCATATCGTCTACATAATCATCATTATTAATCACCCCGTAAAGCAACTTCTGCCTTATTGTATTTAATGTTGCACCAGAATTTACCATTCCAAATGGCTTCTCTCTGAATCTTCTGCTGTAGAAAATGCAAATGTTTTGAGTTTGCTTCAATAGGTATTTGCTAAAAACCTTAAGTCAAATCAGTTTTTTGTGAAAAACTTATCTTCTTTGAGCTTTGCCAATTACCCAGTGGTTCTATATCAAACTTTGTTACAGAGTTTAGTCGTCTGAAGTCAATACAAAGCGATTTGTAGTATCATTTTTCTTCACCAAAAAAAATGGAGAATTATAATCGGAATTTGCTGATACCACATTCAAGCATTTTCTTAATTTCACCCTCTGCCGCTGTCCTTTTTTCATATGGCATCGTGTATTGTCTAACACAAATTGGCGTTTTGTCAGTCAACTCAATTTTGTGAAATTAGATCTGTAGATCCAGGAACGTCAGGAAACATATCCTCAAATTCTTGAAGCAAAGCATTTACTTCTGTTTTTTCGAGTGATAATTTGTCATATACATTCACAACCCTGTACGTCTTTTCATCCTATGTATCTACTGTTTCTAAAAGATTTTCATCATCAACCACCCCAGTATCATTATTATTTCCAGCTTCTATTTTAGTTACAGTCGCACACATCCTATCTTTTTGTTCTTCATATTTCTTTAGAAGATTTATGTGGTACACCTAATTACATAACCTTCTTTTACTTTCTAGTCAATCTTGTTAACTGTTTCACTTACAATAAATGGACCTTTCCATTGTAACATTAGTTTTTGGTGTGTTGAAGGCAGGAGCAATAACACTTGTTGATCTTGTTTGTCATACTTGTATCACTTTTTAAGACTTCTTGGTCCTGTTTTCTTATCATAATGATGTTTGCACTCTTCTTGTGAGTTGCTGAAATTCTCTCTAGCAATCATGCGCGTTTGTTGTAACCTATTTCTCAAATCTATGACTTTCTCATAGGTATTACGTGTATCTCGAACTTCTATCTCTGTGCATAATTCTTTCAGTGCTTGCATTGGACTCTAACAGTTCTGCTATATAGTAGCTCAAATGGTGATAACCCAGAACGTGACTGAGGGACATTTCTGTATGCAAAGAGAACCGCGGAAAAATGTCTTTCCCAATGCTTAGGTCTTTCTTGGCAAATTTTCTTAACAATGCCTTTAAAAATACCATCCGTTCTCTCACAAATACCTTTGCATTTTGGATTGTACGGGGTGCTAATCAACTTTTTAGGGATAGAAGTCTACAAACTTCTTCCATGAGTTGTGGTGTGAAATAATTACCTCTATCACTAAGTTTTTCCGATGGAAAACTTACTTTTGCAAAAATGTCAACAATGCTTAGATTATATTTTAAGTCTCTATTCTTGGTAAAGCAACAGCTTCTGGGTAACGAGTAGCATAATCAACTAGAGTTAATATGTACTTTTCCTATTTCTGAAACAGGCAATATTGGTTCTATCAAATCAACTGCTATTCTTTGGAAAGGAGTGTCAATAATAATAGGCATTTCACCTAAAGGAGTTTTCTGAAGTTTACCCCTGGGCACCGTCTTCTGACAAATATCACAGGAATGACAAAATCTAGCAATATCACCAGAAATACCTTGTCAGTGAAAAAAAGACTGTATCTTGTCTAAAGTCTTGCATACAGCCAAGTATTTCTTACCAAACAGATATAAGTCAATAACCAAATATAATGCAACAACCAAGACAACTAAATCAAATAATGAACCCTGATTAACTTAGATCATCACAATTAATTTTCACAAACTTCAACAAATCAACAAAACTGCCTTCAAAACAACAAATTCTCATCTTAAAAACAAATAAACGCTACACACCTCCCTTGAATTAATGTAAATTTCTCCAAAATTAACGATTTTACATTTACATGTAGATAACTTTTTTATGCACAGCAAAAGTTTAAAAAATAGCTTTCCATTAAAACATGATATTTTCACTTCATTTAAAACAATGACCTTCATAAAACATTTATAGGCCTAATTGCATCTAGGTTTTTTTGTTTAAACAGATATGGTGCCGTTTCCAAGAGCTACCACAACAGGGGCGTTTTCTGGAAACGTACAGTATTTAGATGGAGACTCGATACTAACATCACTAGGTTACCCTTTGACAGTAATATTGGACAGTGATGTACAGTGGATTGTAAATTTTGAACCCCAACAGTTTGCCAAATTTGTTTTCACAAACGTATCACTATCCGAGGTAAGTATCCATTTTTTCTTTTTCTTTTCAATTCTCATACCTGCAATCACTTCAGTTTTATCATAAGTTATCATTAACTTTCCAAAATCCAGGACGTATTTCAGGGTTACCTTGACTCAACCCTTTTCTTTTTTACTACCATTCTCAAAATCAAATTCTTACCTCAGATATGTATTTCATGTATACATATGAATGAACATGTATATGTTCATTCTATAATGATTTAATTTATTGTTTTAAAAATATATAAGAGAGCATGCTGAATTTTTCTAAAAGAGGCAAAATGTAGAATGTGTGATGAGTGTTATTTCGACTTTCAAACAAAAAAGCAAATTGCCGCAACTATACTTATATCAGAAAAGCAAAGGAAGCAACATGTAGTTCACATATATAGCCTATAATTGATCTTTGGTAACTATAAAAAGTCAACAAATATAAAAAAAAAAATTAAAGCATTTTCAGACGTCATGGGTATTTTTGCAGCCTGATAATATGTTATTTTTACACAGAGTGAACTCATTGTAAAAGCATCGCAAGAGGTAAACAGAGGATTTATCATTGACGAGAATCTCAACGATGAAGTATTTGTTTTAGAAACAAACCAAAGCCTGTTGTTTTTAACAACAATTTCTAAAACGATATGGTCACCAACGGTTAAATTCCGGGCAATTGTAACTGCTGAAGGTACAATATACTATCATATGTATTTCTGGAAACTGGTATAAAAATATTTAAATGATCAGCTTTAATGTTCGTTATATTTTGTAACATCTCATCACAAATAAAATTTAAGTGATTTTTTTTCAAAATCAAAAAGAATAAAATCGTCTTGACTTGCCATTCTGCTTTTTTTTTCAAATAACCGTACAAATAATATCATTTAGTTAAAACACATGTTCCTAGCAATCAGTTATGAAATATATATTAATACTTACGTTTGATTATCTAACATGATTTTCATTCCCTTAAAAATAAACATTTTAATAAATCTTATATTGTGCAACTAGTGTAAACATTTGTCATTCTTCCTTAGCAACTCACTAACTATTTGTTTGTCTTTCAGAAACCCCAGCCTGTTTTTCACTCGTTTTGGATATACTTTCTAAAACAAGAAAAGAACTATGCAATAAACCAAGTATGTTCCTGACATCCCTTTCATATTTGAATCTTGATCAACAACTTAAGGAAGAAGAGTTTATAATTCAAGCCGGAAAGCATCAAAGCATTGACTTAATTTTCGTCGACTTCTACATGCCGTGTTATAGCAAGGATTTTAACGGCAAGTAAAATCAAATTATGAAAGCGTTTGGAAAAATATTTACACATTCGTAAATGAAGAGTTGTTTAAAATTTTGCAATATTTGGACCAGGTTGTTAAATTTAAATGACAACAAATTCCATGAAAGTATACAAGTACTTTATTGTAAGATTGTGGCAGGTACCCGAACAAGAAAAGTTGGCGGTTTGTGTTCAGATACCTTATTTGTGAACTTGACTTTCGTTGAGTTTGACATTTGTAGAACGTTGGAGACATATGGGTTTATCAATAGCTTTATGTGTAGAAATATACCTAGTTTTAGGTTTTAGTTACATTTTAATTTTAGCAGATAAGAAAATAGTTTAAGACTGCAACTTCTATTGACACAAAATGGAAAGCCTACACTGATTCCTTTAAATCAAAGACACAAGCCAAGAGAATCAATTTCATTTTGACATAGAGTACCAAATATATACTAAATAATAATAGAAATGCTTTTAACTCAATGTTTTATAGACATGCAACTAGTATGTATAGTTTTACATCAAATGTCTACTGAATGAAGTAGACCGCACGACGGAAATATTCCATAGTATTTATGGATAACAGGGGTATTATTGCAGCCTGATAATATGTTATTTTTACACAGAGTGAACTCATTGTAAAAGCATCGCAAGAGGATTTATCATTGACGAGAATCTCAGTCTTTTTTCTTTTTCTTTTTTTTTTATAGTATTTATGTTGTTTTTTTGCAAAGTTCATAGTAAATAATTGCGTTTTAAATGTTGCGTGTGTGACATCATTTCTTACATACTTATTTATACTTCAAAGCTTTGATAACTTGTAAATATTATCTTATTCATCCCTGTATTTCATTTTTCCGGTTTCAGTCGGAACTTTTAAAGGAGAATCGTATACACACGTTACAGGTATATACAGTTATTATATTATTATTATATTTATTACTTATAATTTTTGTTGGGATACCTTATTTGTGTAGTTGGCTTTCGTTCGGTTTGGCAAAAATCTTCAGAAAATCTTTGTAAAATTATTAAATAATGCCTAAATGTCAAGTTTATTACTTGTCCTTGATGATATGATAACATAAATGCTGTATTTACTACTGTTGTTAATAATGCGTCTATAAATCCTTTCTCAAAATGTCAAAATTATAGGTAATATTAATAAGCATTATTTTATAATTTTACATAGATTTTATATATGATTATGTGCCAACTAGTTATTATATAGCTGATAACTTTCATTTGTTGATTGGTTGTAGAAGTTATTGAATAACTAGCATATGATGTATTTTTAGCAAACGTTAAAGGTAACTTAGTGAAATTGGCCATCGTGTTATAAAGTAATAGACTATGCATATTTTTTGTAATTTATCAAATTGCTTTGACATTTTGAGATAGGATTTATAGATGCATTATTAACAACAGTAATGAATACAGCTTTTATGTTATTATATCATCAAGGACAAGTAACAAACTTGACATTTCAGCAGTCGTGTCCTACAAATGAGGCTTGTGAAATATTAGCCACTGTAACATTGTTACTATGAAGTGGACTGAACTGAACTTTGTACTATTATATTAAAAATGATTTGTACAAATGATATTTTCATCTGAATGCAATATAACTTGCTTGGCGTTCTTGATGCATATTAAATCAGCTCTAACTCTATAAACGAACGAGATGAAGAAAATGAAAAATAGGCATACATTGGTTAAACAAAAATGTTCAAATGTATTAAGATGTATTAAGGTTTAAAACGCTCATATATTTAAGCTGTCTACTTTTCAACTTGTATGCAGTTTATTCATAATTCTAGAATTATGATTCTTGTATTTTCTTGCGTTAATTATAAGAATTAAGCTTGTCATTCTAGAAGTAGTCCTCATACAAAGGAAACACGTGCTGATTGTAAAATGATTTAGATCAGCTGAATTGCTATAATAATCTCAATCTGCGTTGAAACAGATATGATATTTGCACTTCTTTGTTCATCTCATTGGAGCTTTTCCACGGATCTTATTCCCAAGACATCATGATCTCGTTTACACGAGATGTTCTAACGTTCCATCAAATCTGCACATTTAATGAAAGCGAGAGCCATCTCTATTTCGCTTTTTTTAAATATTAGAAAAACGGACATTCTTTAAAGTCATTTATCATTTCGATAATTTGTTGATACGTATATAAGGTCCTTAAGCTTGGTTGTACTGGCACATCAACACTATGATTTTATTTCTAAAAGTCTGATTTAAACTTGCAAATCTTCAATTTTCTTTCAAATGTTTGCACTACATATTATATAATTCATATAGTAATTATAATTGTTCAATTCTGTTTGATAAATAATATTTTATAACATTGAAATAGGCCCATTCAGATCAAAATTTGCCATCAAAGATGTTGGAAGTGAGAATGAGTTTTGTACAGGAGTGTTGCCCCCAGACACATACAAATCAAAAGGTTCTATAATTCATTTGCATTACCGGCCGCATCGCTTTCTGAAGTATCCGCGTATAATTGGCGAAAGAATCGGGCAAAGTGAAGGATTCCGTATACAATACAAAATATCAGAACATTCGTTTGAGAAGTATACTACTGAGGCTAAAGGAAATAAATCACTACCAACAAGTATATATATAATATTCTTTAATGTAAGGCACATTCATAATGAATATTGTTTTCATCATTTCATCAAATGTACATCTACGGACATTTTTTACAATCGGTATTATGTTTCCTATATATTTCAATAAATTCAATAATTTTCTTTCTGTATAGAATAGTAAAAATATCAAAAGAAATACTTTTCACGAATTGAATCTGAGAAGTTTGAAAACAGCGCGCAAAGGGGAGTAACTGAACTAACATTCTAGATTTTTAAGATATCATTTGTCTCCCTTGACTAAGACACCAAAAACTACTAACTATAAAAGTTTATATATGAATTATTTCAAAGTTTATAGGTCTTTTGTGCAATTCTCTTTTTAATGGTAGAAATTAATTATAACTTTCGTCTAGTTGAACATCGCTTTGAGAACACAATCTAAAAGTTCTAAAGAAACTATAAATGATTCTTTTTATATTTCAGCATGTTCCAGGCTTTTCAAAAAATGCTACACTGTATTCTCTGAAAAAGTTTCATGGGATATTGCAAATGATAAATGCCGTAAGCGCAATGAACATCTTGTGACTATAACATCAAGAAAGGAAATGACTTACATCCAATACTTGCTTAGAAGCGCATTATATTATCAGCGGAAGACTGAGCTAAAGAATGAACTTCAAGCTAATGATCAAAAACTTAACGGAGCACATATTGGTAACTCTCCTTTATTTAAACGTGATGTTATTGGTAATTTTTAAGATATTGTTTTCATTTGTTAATAAAATGAGATGTAAAAAAATGCTATTCGTGTACCCTTGCATGTGTATTATACTGTTTCGTTGTTTTTGATTTTTAAAGGTTTAAGGCGAGTTAAAGACAAACAATGGCGGACGAATTTCAAATGGTTAAACAGATACAACTCTACGTTCAGTGCTTGGTAATAAAAATATTGTTATTATAGCAACCTTTTTGGTAACAAATTTATAAATGATTATATCAAACCGTGTGTAAAGTATTTAACTGTCGACCGCAAGAGAAAGTTTAAAATGTGGATCATTTACCAATTTGATATTTGAATACTTTATGTCTGTTTTTAAACATTCCATGGAATGAATTTTAAGACTTTTAAGGATTTTAAAATTATACTGTTTGATTTTTTCCCTTCTATTCATTTTTATTCATGATCAAATTAACATTTTGATAGAATCTTATTTCCGGAAAAATTGCACAGTCATTGTGGTGCATTTTATAGAAGCTCTAGTTGTTTTCATCTTTGTGGAAATTTAGTATATATTAAGTTATATGAGAACTATCTTCTGTGTACAAGGTCTATACTATTTTTAAAGGGATAAACCTATTATAATTGCCTTAAACCCTGATTTTGTGACTAATCCTTTCGCTTGTTTCTGATTTGCCATTTATTTCATAATTCCCAGATTCTTTGACAATGTATGGTTTTTAGTTTCATTTGTTTGGAAGCTCTTGCTTTTCATCATTGCAGGGAAAGCAAACAACCTGCAACTGGAGACTGTACTCGTACGTTATTCGAGTACTTTAACATCGAAGAACTTTGGGGCACTGAGGATTGCTTGTATAACCACGTCGAATTTTTCATCTGTGAGAAACCGTTTTCAGAGAACAAGATGAACACAAAGAGTATATTTTATTAATTTGATTAATAACAAGTTCTTTTATAAAGGTCTTTAAAAGGGGACCTTAAAAATCCAATATAACAATAGATGTACAAATGAGTGGTAAGTTTCATGATGGCGAACTTGGTGAAAGCGCCGGAATTTCAAAAAAGACAAACATTTCTTTCACGGGTTCGAGTTTCACAAGTTGTCTTCTTTTTTGTTCTTTTTTTTTAATTTTACATATTTTTACTTCTCTGAAAATCTTTTTTCACAAGATTGATTTTTTGAAGTATCATGGTTTATCTGGAGGCATGCAGCTTTGATAAGAAGTTCTTGTTTCGAGAAACTCGCAGATGGCTGAAAGATTCACATTTTAACCACAGTATTTTGTTCAGACTATGTACAAACGAGTAAAATATTTAAAACACTCAGCTATCGGGCTTATATCCAGAAGCTACGCACGTCATACAAATCACATAAACTTAAATTCTAATATTCTTTTTATTAACTGCACTGAGTTCTGTTTATACATTTTGTATGCATTTTCAGCTGGTGTCAAGGACGATGAATGTAAAACAGTCTTTAGGAAAGAAGACCTTGTTGCATCCCCATACTCTGGTAAAACATGTCAAAATTGGAAAAACCTGTCTGACACAGCTAAAAGTGATTTCGACGAGAAGTTTTCTTCTTCAGAAACTGCTTTAAAAAATTCGACTCTGTGTACAGATGTTACTTCAAATGATATACCGTGGTGTTATGTTAATGACCCTGGTGAATTTTTGCTGGAGCCGTGCTTTTTGCAATGTAAGATATATATTCAATATCATGTGATAAGTAACAATTAAAAAAACATCATCACTTCAGAGAGAACAATAAGACTTGTAACGACTAGAAAACATGATTTCTCCCAGTCGTACCGATACTATTGCGCATCAAATGCGCTATTTGGTTAAAATGTTAACGTCGATTACGTATGACCGCTTCTGTTTAAAAAACGTTCGACAAGTATTTCATTGAAACAAATACATCGACTGTTGGCTTTCCTTTAAATATTATTATAGGTTAAATTAGTATTCATATAATATAGATTTGGTAACATATACTTTCTTTTTTTTATAATTCTCTTTCAAGTGAATATAACCATTGGTTTAGACAAAAGTAACGCCAGTCTGCCTGAGAAAAAGAGGATATCTGACAAAAAATGCATCGATGGATCGTCAATACCTCGGGTGAATTGGTGTGATAGGAATTTTGACTGCTCAGACTACACGGATGAGTTGTCATGTCAGGATAGTTTTAACGGTTAGTGAAAGTAAATTGATATTTTAATGGTGTATCATATGTAAACACACAAAATGATACTAGTAAATAAATATACATTGCATAAACTAACACAAGACTAAGTATAAAATCTGGAAGAAAGTCATTAAGGAAGCATTAATCACGACAAAATTACATGAAAATTGCAGATTCGGTTTGATTGAGTCTGTTAACACTTAAGTGTTGAAATCAATACCCCTGAATGACCACATATATATAACAACACTGAATAAATCTGGCCTTATTGGTCTGCAAGACACAAACGACATAAAACAAGGACTCTGAAACATGTGAATCAAATAAATTTACAGAAAGAAAAGATTTAAAAATGCAATGAATTATTTACTTAAACATTTGAACATTTTTATTCATTGACCGTTATTAAATCATAAATGTATGCAATATGAACATTTTATAACGAAATTATAATTTTAAAGGATGCTTGGCATTATCCGGAGGTCAATGCTATTTTTCTTAAACTATCAAATGATGACGTATATCTTAGTACATCATCGGATACCAACGGCCGAAACACATGTTATTTTACATGTTAATCAACAGTGGGTATCTTATATGATTTTAGGAAAACAGTGGTAAATTCAAACGACTAGTGTAATGAATATTTGTTTTTAAAATGATTTATCTCAACCGCTTTCTTTTTCAAACGTAATTTGTATTCCATTGATGTTTATTAATCAACTATTCTGTTAATTAGTGTAATACGCAATAGTTTGTTTTATTAGATCACAATCTTACGAATGTTGGTAATACAATGATAAATTCTAATTTACCTCGACGACTCGAACCCGGAGCGTATTTCCATTGTGAAGAGAGCAAAGAATGGATATCTATGTTAGCTCAGTGTGATGATGTCATCGATTGTCTTGATGCTTCAGACGAAATCAATTGTTCGCACAGCAATATTGGTATTTTATCCTGTTTATATAGTAATTGTCCACAATCTATGCGTTTCCTTTGATTTTTTTCATAGTGTATTTGTTTGGTATTTTGCTAAGAGTTTCTTTTAACTGCCATCACTGAATTTGCAAAATATTTAACTTCATCAGATTCTCTTGGTTTATCTTGTTTATAGATAAGGATTCCTTGGTAATAATTTATGCTGTTATTAAAGCTGAGAAAATGAGTTTTTGTCTCCTTGCTTTGTATACAGTTTGATAGTTATAAAATCATTTTTTAGAAAAGAAACTTACCATGATTGATTCTTATTTTCACAATAACTTTTAAAATGTATGTGCAGCATGTGAGGACAATGAGTTTTTATGTGATGATGGACATTGTGTAAAGCTGAGTCAGGTGTGCGACTTTATATCTGACTGCGGGGATGGTTCGGATGAGTTCTGTGGTAAGCAATTACATTTCAATCAACGATTAAACAATCTTCTCGATGATTTGATGATATTTAAAGGCACGTTATGCCTCAAAAACGATTAAATGTTTACAACTTTAGAAAGGGCAAACATAAGTATTATTACGTTAAATTAATGGTTTTATAGTATTTAAGGTACATGTTACCTAAAAAAGTAGCTCAAATTATGAAATAATTTGTCATAAAAGTATGAAATTTAGTGTTTGACCATCAAACGACAATTGTTCAATTCTATGATATTTTTAAATTAATGCAACTTAGCTTATACTTATACAATTGGCTGTTGCGACGAACAAGACACATGATACCTTTTTTCCATTTTTGAACTCAATCTGTATTTTCATTAATCAAACAAGCCATGTTTTGACACCGGTGACAACATTTTATTTTACCGTTTATTGTAGTTTACAAACCATTTAAGCACCTTTTTTGCGCACTTTGTGAGGGTCTTTTACTGCTCATGTGTCAGCAGAATTTGAAAGATGTATCTATGCATTTCAAATTACGTCTTCCAATTGTATGAGCTCCTCCTAGTATTAAGTAAGATGTCATGCTTGCTATATTGCTTGTGGTTTATCTTGCATCAGAAGCAACTCTTTTTACATTGTAGCAAACAGGCGTTGCTGTACTAGGTCAATTGCAATTAACAATAAATATTTCATCCAAAAGGTCTTAAACAACCTATTCTAATGGTGCGGTTTGTTACCGCCTTTGAACTTTTCACTTGAATCTTCAGCACAATAGTTGTATAAGTACATACAATTAGGCAATGTGTAGCAACCAACAAACACAGCTAAACTTAATGTATTTCAAGGGGTAGATACCAAAACAAATGTTAATCTACATATTTAATAGGCTTGAATTTCTCGTGATTTTGCAATACTTGAATGAGCAAGGTAACATTTTTAGGTGCATTCATATTTTAAAAAACGTCATAATATCGTGATAAGATGCATTTGGCATAAGTTAATTCATTTACAGCGTTAATTTTACAGCACAAAACATATTCATATTATAGCAAGTCAAAGTATTATGTTACCATTTTTTGAAAATTTATTTTACGCTGACATCTAAGATTCACAGACAATTCGTAGTAACTGCTACATGTTTCCTTTTTTCTGCATGTCATGTGTTTTTTTGTACCGTTATAGAATACCAAGTGTGCAACGTAAATGAATTTCGTTGTGAAAATAGACAGTGTATTCAAGCTGAGAAACGATGTAACGCTATATATGACTGTGTCGATCATAGTGATGAAATAAATTGTGGTTTGTATAATTATGTTGTATTACGGTCTAAATCAATTTTAAATCGAATTTAGATATTAATATAGTTTATCAAAGCACTGAAATTCGAGATTTTATGTTGGTATTTAAAGCTAAAATGATAACAATTATTAATCTCTATTGAATGATAGGGGAACATGTTAGCATTTCTATGTTTTAACTGTAATTCTAAAATCCCAATCCATTGACCGTGGAGAAATAATGAGTATTGAATCGTACACAAAATTGTAGAAATTTAAATTCCACTTGCATAAACTAAAATAAGAATATTTAGAGGACAGTTTAAAATATACAGAACATAATATACAAATATTATTATACACTTTGGAAAAAAATGTTTACATGCAATTCTTAAAATTTTAAGAACATTCTTTCTAATTCGTACATGTACTTGTTTTGTTAGTGTCAGTTATATGTCATTAATACATGACGTTTAATCTTTAAATATCTTCTTCCTAAACGTACATCCCAGGGACAGTATAATTGGTAATAGTCTGTAGCATCTTCTATATAAGCATTAACAAGTGTGTTCAGATGACCCAGATTCCAATAGAATGTTTGTTTTTCTTTTTTATGATTAATTGTAATTAATATCATACTTGCAAGACATTCAGAGTCCTTACATACCGATGAGCGATAAAAGGTCACCATAGCTTTCTTGTATTTATTTATACATGCATATATTTTAAATAAATGATAAACATTTTGTTTTCTTATTCCTTGAGACTCATGTCAGAAATCATTTCTCTGTGCGGATGATTACAAATGTATTCCTCATCGACTGACGTGTGATGGCTACTTTGACTGTAGGGATAACAGTGATGAAAGGCTTTGTGTAGGTAATCCTCCAACTTCCGAAGACTTCAGTGGTAATTATATATGGACAGGGAAATTAAGTGACGGTAAGCAAAATTTTAAACTTTTTTTATTTTTCCTTATAAAATTCGTACCTGTAATTTCATAAATAAGACGTTTTTAACCTTGTGTGGGTTCAATATTGTATAAAATAAGATGTTTTTGGACATCCAGTAAATTAATACAGTTCCTTTTATACACTTATCTTTTTAGCGCTTTCAATGCTTCTCATATTTTCGGACAGTACATTTACATATTTTCTAACAAAAAGAATCTGGAAAATATGATTGTATATAAAAGTAGGAATAAAATTGATCAAATTTCAAGTTTCTTGTAAACTTTATTGCATTTTCACACATCTTGTTCTTTTTAATTTTCAAAGATTATTTGAATTAAAGCCGAATCAATTCAATTAGGTCGAATTGCATGTTGAGTGTTATCGTCTATTTTTGTTTGGTGAGTAATTTCTCGTTATTTTATGGACGACAGTGTAGGTAACTAAAGACAATAAGCAATAAGTTGCCACGATGAACAATACTGTTAAACGATCGTACAGTGTAACGTCAGCAAAGCAACATCCTTTGAGAGAAAAATATTTTGGTTGCTGCTAAGGCATGTTGCTTTACAGAGGTAAACTATGATGAAAAACTTAACTTTAGGAAAATAATATTGTTGTTGTAAAAATGCAATTTTGATCTAAATAGGACTGTTCTGCTGAAATTAAACTTTATTTTTCTCTCTCAGAGATGTATAGTTGGAATTTCATAACAAACAAGAACGAATCTGGAAGTTTTACATTTTTAAGACATCGTTTACTCGAAATATTTGCAGTCAACGATATTAAGAATGAGGTTTTTGGCGAGAGCTACACTTGTTTCATAAAGGTTAGTGTATTTAAAAGGCAGATTTTGTTGTCTTCTTACAGAATCGTAAAGCAATAATATTGATGAAAACACTTTGATTGGTGGGAACTATATTGAATAAACAGAATTTTGTCAATGGGTTAAATAATATCTACGACAAAAAGAAATTATATAAGACATTTTTGAAAAAATCACAGTGTTTTGGCAATATACAATTTAAGCGTTAAATGTTGTTATATTGTTCGAGTCCTTCGGAATCATTGAATCTAGCACTTTTAAGTGTTGAGAATTGAGTACAGCTTAAGCCGGTGCTAGGGGGCGTGATGGATGTTGCACCTTTTCATTATCAAACCGAGTCTGCAGTTTTCATGTAATTTAGCTGTATTTAATGATTCCGAGGGATCACCTTTTTATTAGATATTTAATTTTGTCACTCCTTTGCGCCGCACCAAATTTGTGATTTGTATCATTTTACTAAAAATATATTATTTAATGAATGGTAATTTTATTGTAGGTACAAGCCAATTGCAAGCTCAGATTTCGGGAAGCGGCTTCTGTTGATAATTACCACAATGATTTTGCATATCCGGCATGTCATTGCACAATAGGAACATTCAAAATAAGGCATATACGTCAAATGTATGTATTCAAATTATTACATTTTGTTGAAACATTGTAAAAAACAAACAAACAACAAACAATGAGAACCATTTATTAACGTGTTTCAATTTTCAATTAAATTGATGCATTTATGAATACGTCAATTTGTTTGGTCAGTTCATATAATTATCATTTTAGGTTTTGCAATTGTTTTGCTTATAAAAATCTTGCAAAAATTTTATGACCTTACGTAAGATATGTAGAGACGGAAAACCTTGGTCCTCAAAAATAAAAAGAAAGAAATTAAATTCTTGATGTAATATTAAAAATTCCAGGTATTCCGAGTTGGATATGGTTTCCTTAAAACGATGCAATGGTAGTGAAATCACAGAATCACATGTTGCTGGAGAAAGAATTACTGATATAAAAGACGTATTTGGTACGATTTATCGTGATCCAAACTACTTTTTAGACATGACGCCTGGACATCCTTATTGCACTTACGGTATGGCGCCTATTTACTTACTATATTAATCTTATAGTGTTTTCAAAACGATGTTTGTTCGTGCGGTGCCAAAACCTTTCAAATTGGTCTTTGTTCTTGCGTTTTTTTTTAAACAGAGCATTGGCTGACTTATTCTAGCATTTTGTAAAAAATAATTATGTTTCCATTATATTGCGTATATCTATTATCGGAAAAACTGTTTTCAATAATCATTACTTTTTGCTTTATGACCTTTGTTAAAACACGTTTTAAATTATCAGAATTCACGTTATGTCTTATTTTGATTTACAATACAACAATTCTACTACGGTATATTACATTTTTATTAAGAATTCAGAATATTGAGTTGAGTTGATTTAAAATATTCAAATGTTAAGTATTTGATTGCTTTATTTAAGAGTACAATGCAAGCGTTTTTGGTGAGTTTTTTCATTGCAAAAGAGATGACAGGGCAATACCAGAGTCGATGATGTGTATTTATGCAGTAGATGCTAGCGGTTACATGACTGGGTGTAGATCTGGAGACCATTTACAAAACTGTGGTACTGAGATAATTAGCAAATCATTATGAATAAAATATTTTTATTCCTGACAAAATATGTTGTGTCATTTTACAAATTAAAATATTCTTTATCCACGCTGCGTCTGTACATTAGGTAAGTTAAATTATTCATGCTCTTCATCATCGACTTTCCCTAATAAAATTGAACTGACATACAATTATAATCGAGAGATTCACTAGGATATAACGTTCACGCAAAAAAAAAACGCTGATGAAAATGTTGGCAGTAAGTATGATATTACGAAAATGCATACAAACAAGAAAAAATCAAAGCACAGAAGACGCTGAATTTGTTTGGGTCTCAGAATGTCAGAAAGGTGAAGGTTTTGAGATTATAAACCGATTTGTTTTTGTATAGTGCCAACAATGCTTTCCGGTGCTTTAACCGTAGTAAATTAGCTATCAGACTAATTGCAACACTGATATCCAATTCAATGTTTATATGACTTAAACAATTAAAAAAAATGGGTTGCCTTAACTGGAATTTGAACTCCCGACTTCTCGATTCCTAAGCGAGCGTGCAAATCGGCCACGGTGAAGTAATATGTTACCGGCCTGAAGAAACCCGTATTATTCTAAATTAGGGTTTTTAACTCGCTAAACACAGATGTAAATAATCATGGAGCTTACTATAAGCATGTATATCTATAAAAAACAAAACAATATTAGACATTTTCGACCATTCGGGAACTATTTTGCTTGAAAATTAATGCGTCGGTCATTTGACAATCTTTACGCAGTGATCTCCCCTGAATTTTTCGGCGTTAGTGTACATATAAAGGGGAGTAACCGCTTCAAAAAAGCGGACTACTTTCATCATTTGCAATCAGGGTCTGAAATTTTGCTGACGACCCAAACAAATAAAAATGAAATTGAGGTTATAAAATCATAAAATCCATATCAAATATTTTAAAATGATTTTATATAAAGAAAATGAAGTTGTGTTACAAAAACGAAACACAAGACTTCTAATAGCAAATATGATGATCGTTTATACGCTGCATGCCTCCAGATGAAGAACAATATTTCAAAAAAAAAAAATCAAACCAGATAAAAATGTACAAAAATTATAGGAAAAGTATAAAGATCCTGATAAAGGATAATTTGTTCAATTGCTCTGATATTTAAGTACAGTTTAACCATACTTTCTCCCAAAAAACATTTTCCACTGTATTAAGTTCTTATTATATTTTCTAGCAAACAGTTTATTTTACATGAGAACTTACTTAGTTTAATTTACACAAGAACTTACTGAGTTATAAATTTTGTCCAAAATAACGAGACCACCAATAACGTTCACGATCCTGTAAGTTTACTCATGCACATGAAAATATCGAAAAAATACCCAACATCCGAACTTATCAGGAACCCACAGTTTATGATATTCAATAAGTGTTTTTCAATAAAGCTCTGATAGAAGAGAAATTACACAAATTATTGTTGAATTGAAGACTGTCATTTAATGATAAAATGGCGGATAAAGTGAAAATATAATATTGCATAAAACAAAAACAATGACTAGAAAGTATTCAACTATAAAATGTTTTCCTTGAAAGACAAATTGGGGGGAACAAAACGCCATAATTGTGAACAAAATAGATCAAAAATGTAAATCAATCCCCCAACCACTTGGAAGAGAGATGTTGAGCACATCCTCTGAGGTAACATCACCCAAACTATCAAGATCGTTGTCACTCAACTACAAGATAAGGTAGTTGGACAGTCCCCCTCCGCTATATCCAAATATATATATATACTGACCTTCTGATTCGCATTCAGCCTTAACGCATTGGTCTTTTCCACAATGTCTTCTTTGTAAATACTGGCTGAAATTATTCATATGTGGATCTCCGAGCAACAGAATATTCGCGGTCATCTTTGGGCTTCCATAATATATCAATCCTTAAGGTGCATGTTGTCATTCACATTTTAAACAAAAAATGAAGCGTTCATAAATATAACATTGTTTACCTCGCTTCTAAATCTGTCTAAATACCACTGACAAATGCACACACAAATACGTCTAACTCCGCTTAATATTCACAAAAGACATAGCTCACATGATAATTGATAATATTTGAAAAATGATCGATATGGTTTACTTTTTGGTACGCATATAATCTAAGCGTAGAGTGAAAGTTGTAAATACAATCTTCTTTGTTTTAGTCTATGTTTGAATAAATTAGTGCAACATAAAATATGGACAATGTGAAATTTACACTATGGTCAAACAACATTAAATATGTGCCGTTGTGATAATAGACCTACAAACATGACCCAAAACCAAGATTGCTAGTGATATACACTACGTTATTCAGAAATGTATTAATTCCTTAAATAATTCATTGTATATATTATACAATCAGTGATTCAATTGATATGATGTTTATTATTTTCTTATCTTTTTGCATATTATTAAAGTATTTATAAATTTAATTTCCTACTATTTGCGTTGATGTTGATGTTAGAAAATGAGTTAATTCACTGAAACACAACAGGGTCATTTAGGAACACATACATCTTACAGCGTTCCATTTTTCAAGATAAATAACCCTACAAGAAATTATAATGCAAGCATTTTTTATTTGTTTATGTATAGAAAACTTAGAAATGACATATATAATTATATACTCTACTCTTTATCCATCAAAAGTAACATTAAATATTAAAATGAGTAGACTGAGTATCTTTTTAAAAGATAGTTCTTGTTATTTTTGTTTCTAGTGTTATCTAGGTGCCAGTAGCACGTGCATTTTTGTTATCAGTCTTGTGAAGAAAACCAATAATAAAAATAAACGTCAAAATTTTATTTTGTGCTACTACTGCTTTTAATATTAAATGTTATTTTTGATGGATAAAGAGTAGAGCATACTCATTCTAGTCCGAAACGTAAACATGGAAAGTCTCAATGGAACAGTCTTCTGTTTTACCCATTAAGTTTGCAAAGTGAAACCGCGTGAATATTTACTTTTTTCACACTTGGGTTCACATTTCGTAAAAAATACTGACTTTATCTCCTAAAACGTTCTATGTATATATTACTCACTAGAATGACTGGGCTCTACACTTCATCCCATCAAACATAATGAAATATAAACAAAGTTATGGCAGAAAAAAACCTGGACTGTCTTTTGTAATGGTTTTCTGCCACACGCAGATAACAAAACGTCACGTGGTAGAGACACTGTGGTAGTAAGGAAATACTCCTATAACAGAATTTTTATACTAACAACAGTTTAAAGTTTCTATTTGGCACCAGTAAAACGATAGCTTATACTACAAAAACAACGTGGAATAAACTTGTGATAAGCAGACAAACTAATTGGCTTAATTTGATTTGCTTAAATCATGTAAGTTTTTTGCACACTGGCAGTTATAGGGTAGGATTAAGTTGAACCTTTCCGCTTCATAAAAAGGTGTTTTATCCCATTTTGTCGTCTTTGTAAATTGTTTTGTGACTTCATTTGTAAGTTGTTTTTGTTTTCGAATTATGTTTCAATTTTTATTACTGCTAATTGCCCTATCTAAGAATAATACATGTTATGCGCAAAACACTGATATCATCTAATATAATTCTAACCACACATTCACTATTTGGTAAAAATAATAAACACAAAATTATAATGCAATTTTTGATTTTCAGAAAACTTCCTTTGTCCAGAAAATACAGTCAAATGTCCTGGAAGTTACTGTATTGAACAAAGATTTCTATGTGATGGACAAAGCGAATGTCCTGGAGGAGAAGATGAACAAAATTGTAGTAAGTGATTATTGAACTCAGTACCTATACAGTCTAACTTGCCCGTGCGACCACGTGTATTAAGCGACTTTTGTCTTAAACGACCACTTTAAATTCCCCCCTATATCTTTAATGTATTAAGTGACTTTTGCTCAACGCGACAAGCGACCGCTAATTAGTCACCTAGTTGAGATCAATCTTTTCATTAAACGACCACATTTACTTGTCAAGTAATTGTGTTTTTAGAGAATGCCACCTCGTAATGTCACAAGTGTCAACAATCAAAACACAACAAATAAACGTGTGAAAAACTCTTTTTCCCAAACCATTTTAGCGTATGCAAATGAAATTAAGTATACGCGTGACGTGTATTATCCAATAATATCGGATAAACATTGCAACGCTCAGCTCCCCTACTGAGATGGTGTATACGCTTCGCTTGTTGACATTTAGACTGCATTGAATTGACATTGAACTTGATCAGCAATTTAATTAATCGTAACAATTAGATGTAGTTTGTTTATTTCAAATGAAAAAATGCACAACAGAAAACATCTTCACCAATAGGGTTTTCGTGTTGGAGACAAGGAAAAACAACACAGAAGTTAAAAAATTCTGGAAAAAATGTCAAACATGTACGTAATGGATCAAAGTTGTTTTGTCAATAAATATCAGAAAGTTATTTTTTTACATTTGTATCCATTTAGATTATCGGAGCGTACTAATTATTCATAATTTATATAAAAAAAAGTTGAAAAACATTCCTATCGCATAAGAAAGATGTCATTTATGAATTTTGACTTTTATATCATGCTGTCTGATAAGAGACAGTTTCATTAAGCGACCGTTTTGGGTGTTTCCCTTGCACGGTCGCTTAATACACGTTTGACTGTATTTCCTTTGTTTTGCTAACTGCTCCTTACCGCTGTGGGTTCGAATCCCGCCAGGGACTATGACTTCTGTCATGTAAGGAAGCTATCCAGCTAGCTTACGGAACGTCGGTGGTTCTACTCAGGTGCCCGTTCGTGCCTGAAAAAATGCACGAAAGGGCACTTGAGGTCTTCCTCCACCAGTAAAGCTGGAACGTCGCGATATGACTTATACTGTGTCGGTGTGACGTAAAACCCAAACAAACAAATTTTGTTAACTGACATGTGTGTACGGCCAAAATAATGTTTGGGAATGTGAATGTATTGCCAATGGATTATAGTTGTCGTTCGTTTTCAGCAATTTCGTTTTAACTTTGTAACTTTCAAACCGGTGGAAAGTTATGGAAATGCAGAAATGCTGATGATAATGCGAAAAGATGCAGAAGCAGGTGTGGCCTTTGTCAAATCAAATAGAGAGAAATAGAATCCCTAAAGAAAGTCCAAACGGCAAAATTGAAAATGTTACAGGCTTGGTTTGATTTAGCCTGTTCAGCAAGGTTACACATAGTCATTTAATAGCCTTGTACATGTATACTCTAGTATACAATTAAATTGTCAAAAGAAATTTATAAAGTACAATGATGTTATTTCCATATCTGTGAGTCTGTTACAAAACATAGTTAAAGCATTGCCTTACAAATATTCACCTATTGTTATGCTCCCAAAGAGCTTTGCCTGCCCAGTACATCAAATATCTGTACACACAATTAAATTGTAATGTTAATCACCCAGAGTATATATCCATATTCAAATAGTTCGCTTTAGATTTTTTTGACTTCTAATTTTATTTGTTACGAAATATTATTGTTTTGTTACCGACCTTTGTGTGCCTTAAACAAATATCTACACAATCGCCAAGTATTGATGTTATCCCTATAATTAAAGTGTCTCACTCGATTCTTTTTGTGTTTAATTTCTGATTTTATTTCTTATTGCAGCTTGTATAGACTCAGATAGAGAAGTCATCTTATTTGTGGAAGATCAAGATTTTGAGGCAGGAGAAGCAGCAATGCATTTGGCTAAGCAATTCTTTACAAGCACTCAAAATAGTGTCATAAGATTGTTTTATTTTAAAAGTCTGCATAGATCAATGAAGTTTCACATTACGTACAAGTTGTTAGAAATAAGGGAAGAACGTCTTAATCAAGTAAAAGAATCTGAATGCAAGAAAAAAACATTGGCAAGAGATTTTCTAAAAATGCTGCACTTTTCCAAACCAGAAAAAGGAGCCATTATTGTATTTGAGAATAGTGATGAATCATCAATTGTTGCCGACTTAGCATTGTCCAATCTTTCAGAGCCAGCGTTTGCAATATATCGGGTGATACGAGATTTTAATTCTTCACTTTATAAAGACGATACATACAAATTTGTAAAAGACATTCACATTAGTAAATGGAGTTCCCTGTATTCGACTGGGTTTAGAAGATTTCCAGAAATATGCACAGGTGAGTAAAAGTCATGACATTATATGGATATAAGTGTAAAATATGTATGAAAACATATGATTATATTCGGTTAATGTTAAATCATGCTTAATATATTAAGACAAATTTTGTATTCATTAAACTTTTTAAGACTTGGTGATAGAACTTTCAGCAAATTAAAAGAAAGAAATGAATATTTAGTATTGTTCACCTTCACAATGCAAGCATTTTAACTGTAATGTGATACCAATATAATTGTAACTACGTACTTACAAATAAAAACGATAGATGAAAGTCATTATAACAATAGTGTTTAAATCTATGATATTGATGATTATGTTCCATACATAATTTCAGCTCAAATTTCCTGTGATCAATCCTTCTTTTCCTACATTTTAGAGGCTTCACTCGTTCCATGTGCGGGAAAATACAGATGCTCTTCAAGTAAGCAATGTATACCACTTGAACAAGTGTGTGATAATGTCATTCATTGTAGAAATGGTGACGATGAACGGCTGTGTGATTCTTTGTGTCCACCGAAATGTTATTGTGTTGGGGAGGCAATTAATTGTAGGGCGGCAAACATATCTCTTTCTGATATCTCAGCATTGACCATGCAGGTCAGGAGTGCTGATCTAAGCTTAAATCCAAAAATTACGAAAATTCACAATAATAGTTTACGCTTTCCTTACATGTTCCGTCTCAATTTGTCATCCTGTGACATTCAGGATATTGATAAAAAAGCTTTCCATCACTTACAATATCTTTTGTCATTGGATCTTAGTAGTAATAGAATACGGCGGTTACCTCCTAAGATATTTAGCAAACTTCGTAATCTAACACACTTGAATCTAAATGGAAACTTCGAGTTGACAGAGATTTCGTCGACATCTTTTAAAGGTTTAAAAGCTTTAAGAAGTTTGAAAATTACTGGCACAAAGCTGAAAAAGATAAACTCACACACCTTCTCTGGCTTACAGTTAGACAGTATAGATATTTCTTACAACGAAATTGAGGAAATTGAAGATTATGCTTTCAACAATTCTGTAGTTCATAAAATTAACTTTGAAGGAAATAATGTAATAAGATTTAGAAAGAAAATGTTTGACGGCATCAGATCACTTCGAGAGCTTCACACACCTGCCTTTAAATTCTGTTGCATCCGCCCTTGTTATGTTCCTGAAGAAAATTGCAAACCAGTCAAGAATGAATTTTCATCATGTGAAGACCTCATGAGAAACTCTGTACTTCAAGCAGTTCTATGGATTGTTGGGCTATCTTCATTATGCGGAAACCTCTCGTCAATCATCTACCGTCTTGTCTACGATCGTGAACGGCTTAAGATAGGTTATGGCATATTTGTAACTAACCTTGCAGTCGCAGATTTCTTTATGGGCGTGTACCTGATCATGATTGCAGTTGCTGATTCACTTTTCAGAGACAGGTATTGCTTTCTAACAATCTGATTAAATCAGCTTCTAATTAACGCTGAGCATAACATGCAAGAATAACATAAGAGTATGTCTTAACTTAAGTCAGTTTGTGCTTTCTAAATGATTCCCTCTACAAAAATACGACCTGTCTTTCTTACTAATTTTAAAGGAAACATGTTTATCTTTCTAATTCAATTTGGTTAGTCTGAATAAAAGGGGATCTTGAAAAGGTTCTGACTTCTATAATAACATATACAAAAATGCCAGCTGCTGATTCCGATATGAAGTTTCTACTCATTATGCTGACTCACTCTTCAGACACAATAAATATATAGTCTCTACATGAATGAAGTTGGTAAGAAAAGACTACTATATTTTTATAGTTACTTTTTTCTACACAAAAGCCAGGAAAATGCCTTAATGAAAGCATTTATTTTCGTCTTTTCGGTACCCATATAAGTTAATATATATGAAATTGTGTCCAGTTATGTCCTGTGCAGTTGTAATTATTTATAACTAAATACCTATTTTCAAAGTATTTTTGAGAATATTGAAAAAAATGGTCACCATTGTACAATTATTTTTTACACTTCCGATCATCCATATCCTTTATCTTAAACCGAATTGACATTTATTGAGTCCCCCTCTTTAGAATAGAATTGACTCTATTTTTTCTAACTTTTGTAAAGGAAAGTGTTAATGATAAAAGGATGAGAGACGTAAGTTAAGTACATCTTATTTAAGAATAGCGAATATTTTGTGAAAAATAGAAGAATTTACGATATTTTATTTTGAAAGATTATTATATTATTTATTTTCAGGTACATTTATGAG